AGCTTGCTCCAAGCCCCTGTGTCCTTGAACACTGCCAGGGATGGGGCAGCCACAGCTTCTCTGGGCACCCTGTGCCAGAGTCTCAGCACCCTCATAGGGAAGAATCCTTCCTTACATCCAATCTGGATCCCCCCTGTTTCAGTCTGAGCCCATCACCCCTTGTCCTATCGCTCCAGTCCCTGATGAAGAGTCCCTCTCCATCATCCTTGTATCCCCCTTCAGACACTGGAAGCTGCTCTGAGCTCTCCAAGCAGCTTCTCCTCTCCAGTGTTCCCAGCCTGGCTCCATACGGGAGCTGCTCCAGCCCTACTCCATCCCTTCCTCAGCATCATCATCCCAACTTGTGCTCCACGTCACATCCCACCCCAGCTCCACAGCTCGCAGCGTGACGATGCGATGCTGGTGGTGCTGGTGGTGCTGGTGGTGGTGGGCTTGCACCGCTCCCTTGGCACCTTCTCCCATTCCCTCTCCATGCACACATGTGTTCCTGGTGGCGGCATGCAGGCTGGCACACGGTGCCGTGGCTCTGCATGGAGCTCTGACGTGCTAGCTGTGGGGATGAGCTTTGATCAGCACTTCCAAAGAGTGCCTGGGGCTGGAGGGGGGTTCGTCCGCTTTGATTCCTCCCCCAGGGTACTGGGTATTGATGGAGATGGAAAGAGGATGGGAGGATGCTCGGGGAGATGGGGATACTGAGCAGCAGCAGGGGAGATGCCATGCTCAACACAGGTATTTTGGGCTCTGCACACAGCAATATGGCCCTGAGAGCATGGCCAGCACCATCCTCTCTATAGAGAAGTCAGCCCCAGTGCTGGTGCTGGCAGATGCTGTCAGCTTGTGCCCACCACTCATCCAAAGCCCTTGGCCATTTGCCACTCCATGGAAGAGATTCCAGCCTCTTTATCCCATGCAAGAGCCTTTTGACTGTGAGAGCAGCCAGGAGCTGGATGCCCCTCACAAGTGCTTTGTCCTCCCAGTGTTGCCATATTGCCATGGTGGGAAGTGCTGCTCCAGGACCATGGCCTTTGGTGCAGGTCCATGGTGAGGAACTGGGAGTGATGGGGGAGCTGTTGATTGAGTCTGAATGCAGGGATGGACACAGGGATACAGCATCCATGCCATGGGGAAGGAAATCAGGGGGAACTGAGCACCAAGGTCTCACTGTGCTGGACTTGAGGGATGTCCATCCTTGAGAGCTCAGTGTGCATAGGGCTACCGAGATGCTCAAAACCACTGGGATGCTCAAAGCCAGAGGGATGCTCAAAGCCAGCGGGATGCTCAAAGCCAGCGGGATGCTCAAAGCCAGCAGGATGCTCAAAGCCAGCAGGATGCTCAAAGCCAGCGGGATGCTCAAAGCCACGAGATGTCCAAAACCCCACAAGGACATGCAAATCCCTCTCAGATTTCTGCACCTTTCCCTTGTGCTGAGGTCAGGTTTTGAAGTGTTTCCTCCTCAACCACAAAGGCCACAGCTCGGTCGTGCTCCGGAGGCAGCTAATTCCATGCCCGCAGGAGCGGCGGCTTAGGGGGGATAAGCACCGGTGGCACGATGCCATCGATGCCATCACCAGCCTCATCTCCCAACACACTCCTATGGGTGCTGGGGGGTGTCCTGCTCATCCAAGGGCATCAATTTGTCCATGGAGACCCTCTCCCTGTGCGCAGGGATGCTCTTTCCCAGTGCAGGAGCCCTGTTCCCTGCTCTTGTGGCAGCACCACTCAAACCCCACACTGCAGGGCTGTGGATCTAACGAGGCAGGTAATCCCCTCATCAATAACCGGCTGTAAAAGTGGAATTATAGCCCGTCAAGTGGCATTGAATACTGATGACAGAGCTGCAGGGCTGAGCTGGCTCCTTCCCCAGCCTCCACTGCCAGCCTAGGGAGACCTTTATGTCCTCCAAAGGGGGGATGTGGGGTCTCCTGCTCATGGAGCACCTCTTTTGGATGGGGTAGGACCAGTGAAGGGTGGGTGTGACTGGGAGGGGGGGATGTGGATGCAGGGACCCCAGAACAGGGCTGTGGACCCCCCAATGCACGGAGCTGAGGTCCCACAGCCACCCACCCCATGGCATCCCTATGCCAAGCATCCCAGGCGCAGAGCTGCGGATGCTATCATGGGGACCCCATGCAGCGTAGCAGGCCAGAACCCAAGGATGGGGCGAAACCAGGAGCTCTGCTCCACTCATCTTCTCTAATTAACCAGTGTTAATAGCCTGGAAAATGAGTCCTTTCAATGGTGTTGAGGGCAGCAGAGCCCTGCGGACAGGGCCAGCACAGGGACCTGTTTCCCTGCTGGGGAGGGTTAGGAGCCTCCATACATAGGGACCAGTGTGGATGAACCTGGTGGTCACTGGGGGGCATGGAGCCCACCGGGCAGGTCCCCATCATCAGGTTCACTGGGCGATGCCAGGCTTGGGGCTGTGGTGACAGCTCAGTTTGGCCAGGGGCAGGTACCAGCATAGGAACCAGCAGCAGCATCCCTCCCCAAGCCCCTTGGTGCTGGATTTCTCCCTCCTAAGCAGGGTAATCCCTCCTCTGTGCCATGGCAGCACCTCTGTCCTTTCCTCTTTGATATAAGGGAGATGTTGTGCCCTGTGAGGGTGCTGAGGCGCTGGCACAGGGTGCCCAGAGAAGCTGTGGCTGCCCCATCCCTGGCAGTGCTCAAGGACACAGGGGCTTGGAGCAAGCTGCTCCAGTGGAAGGGGTTGGGGATGGAGCTGGAGGAGCTTTAAGCTCCCTTCATCCCAAACCATTCCATGGTTTCTGATTCCATGATTTCCCTCATGCCTGATTATTGAGGATGAACTTGACCCTGCATCTCTCAAAGCCGCTCTCCCCTCTCACACAGCATCCAAGCAGGTCGCCCTGCTCGCCATATACCACAGTGTCCCCAAGCAGGCATCAGGGCTGTGGGGAGACACGTTTTGGGGGTGCGGGGGGTTAGAGGAGGGCTCACCCCAATTCTTAACCACACCAGGCTGCCCATTTAGCCCATGGGCTGCACTGGTTGGGTTCTCTCCCCACCACGACCCAAGTATCCCCGGAGGGGGGGGGGGGCTCTACCCCAATGTCTTCTTTATCCCCACATCAGCTGATGTAGCTGGGCTTTATAAATGTTTGAAATTAAGGGCTGGTCCCAAATTCCCTCCTAGGCAACAGTTGCTAAGTGAGCTTTATACACAGGCTCCTCGTGACCCAGGAGGGATGGAGGGGCCCCGTGCTTGGTTTGGATGCAGGGAGCACGTGTACCAGTGATGGAGCAATGGAGTGGTCCAGGACCCCCAAGCCCTTTCACCTCCCTCTAACCCCTTCACCCCGCTCAGCATCTATGTGCTGTTATAAAGCTCCATCCCCTTTATTGCCTCCATCCCCTTTGCTCCCTATGGCATAGAACCAGGACCCCACCATGTGCCCAGGGGATGCCTGAGCCCCGAATGGGGATGCTCTGACTCACGGCAGCCTCTGAGCCATTGGCAAATTTCATTACAATAACAAGGGCTGCGGGTGAATTAATTATTAACTATTAGTGTTTAATATTTAGAGGGCAGCACCGCTCCAGGCACACTGATCCAGCCCCACTGCATCCCACTGCTCCAGCAATGGGCTTCCCCATCCCGGGATGCTGAGCTGCATGGGGGGATGCTATACAGGGGGTCCTGCATGGGAAAAGGGTTAGGGTGGGATGGGAGATGCACTGGACCCTCCTAAGTGATATTGGGTCCGTGTTCTTATGGTGCCAGGGCCACCCTGCTTGCTGGCAGCATGATGATGGGGACACCCAGTATTGGGGCTGGTAGGGGGTGGTTGGGTGCAGGACAGAAGCAGGGTGGGTGGGAGATACCTGCGTTAACCCGTACCCATCCCCATACACACAAACGGGGTGATGCTGGCACAGCAGAAGGGTCCATCCTCACTTTTGGGGTCCTCAGGGTTGTCTCCAAGGCCAGGCTGGGTCAGGAGGCAGCTCCTGCCACTGTGAAGTGCCCACAGTGCACAGTTTGGGGTGAATTTATGGGGTTTGGTTGATCCAAAGAGGGAACCCCTGTGGTGAGGTGGCTGTGGGGCTCTGATGGAAAGAGAATGGGTGCTGCAAGGGGAGTGGGGGTGGCTTGTCTGGAGAGGATGGGAAAGGGGAAGAGGTGAGGATTGGGAAGGAAAAGGGGAAGAGGATGAAGAAGGGAAAAGGATGGGGATTTGGTGGGGAAGGGATGAGCATGAGGAAGAAAAAGAGGGAAATGAAAGGGAAATGGATGGGCAAGGGGAAGCATGCATCATTAGGAAGGGGAAGGAGTAGAGAAAGGGAAAGGAGAGAGGGAAAAGGGGAGGGGAAAGGTGGGGAAGAAGATTGGGAAGGTGAAGGGATAGGGATGGGGAAGAGATGGTTATAAGGAAGGAGAGAGGAATGGAAAGGGGAAAGGAAATAGGGAAGGGATGGGCAAGCAGAGGAGTTGGTGATTAGGAAGGAGAAGGGGGTGGGAAAGGGGAAAGGGAAGAAGAAGAGGTGGGGAAAAGGAAGGAAAATGGGAAGAGGATGAAGGTGAAAGGATGGGGAAGGGATGAGCATTAGGAAAAGAAAGGGGAAAGGGGAAGAGAGAGGGCAAGAAGAAGAAGAGACGGTGACTATGAAGGGGAAGAGCAATGAACACAAGAGCAGCGGTGCTGCGGGAGGCACGTGTGATGCTGTGACCTTTACTGGACATGCCCGTGCTCCCAGGGGGGCCAGCAGGGATTAAAGCCTTTGCTCTGCTCCAACCTGAGCTCCTGGAGCTCTGCCCCACTGCACGCACCCCATTGGGAACCTGGAGCCCATGGAGGGCCCCACGGTGCCAGTGTCTCCTGATGGGGTTGGAGCCTGGGTACCACATTCCCTGTGTTCACCCTCCCTGCTCTTGTGCAGCTCCCATTGGGTGCTGCTTGCCCACACTGGGGACACCCCTGGGTGCCCACCCCATCCCCTATCCCCTCACTAAGCCCTAGCTCTGCTTTGCTTCCCCATAGGGGCTCCTTCCCGCGATGTCCTCCTCGTCTCAGCCATCATCACCGTCAGCCTTAGCGTCACCATCGTCCTCTGTGGGATCTGCCAGTGGTGCCAGCGCAAACTGGTGAGTGTCCCGTGATGGATGGGTGGGGGGAGCCCTTCTCCTCGCCCTGGGTATGGGGGTCCCACTGGATGGGGGGCAATGCCCACACTGATGCCATCAGATAAAGGCAAGGCGCCGAGAGCGCTTTGTGTCGGGCGCTGGCTGCAGCTCCTCTTGTGCTCTTTAGGGGATGTGATAATTTAATGTTTGGGCAAAACCGTTTGTGCAGCATAAAGGGAAGTTTCCAAATACATAGATAGAGATATAGATATATTTGTGATGAGCAGGAAGCTGGCCCCTGTCCTGCTGGGCACGCTCCTGCCTGGAAGAGCCCCATGGGAAGGTGGCCAGCCAGTGTCTGGCACTGCTGGGTGCCATAAGGCAGCTCTGCCATTGCTGTGCCCCATACATCAGCTCTACAGCACTCACAGGGCACCCCATTTCGAGCCCCATTGGGGCTAAAGGGGGTTTTGGCTTGAGCCGGAGCTTCCTCCTGCTCTGCATCCTTCCTCCTCCTCTCCGTGGACCAGGATCTGGTTCTTGGCCATGTTTCCTTCACCATCAGATTCAAATCTGGGTCAAGTGCTGTGGTGGTGATAGCCTCTGAGATGCCCGTAATGAGTGGGAAGGCAGGGATCCCTTGGGAATAGGAGATGGGGTTTGGCTGTGGATATGGGAGCAGTGGGGAGTGGATGGGAAGGAGCTTGCGGGCCTGGCTGGTACCACCCGGAGAGGGATGTGATGGAGGCTTGAGGACCAGGAGGAGAAGGGCCGGTTGTATCAAAGGAAGAAGCTGGCAGAGGAACAAAGAAGGATAAATTGGCTGGGAAGACATTCAGGCTGGGAATGGAGAGGCCCTCGATGGAGCTGGAATGGCTGCTTGGGAGCCACGGCCAAACCCGCTGAGTGACTGGCCCCAGTTGGCTTGTACTGGGAGAGCAGGGGCCAGCAGCTGTGTCCTCATGAGCCCTGGGCTGTGCCCGGCTGGGGACAATGCTCAGCATAGTGCTGGTTCCTTCCATGATGGTCCATGGGCATCCAAGGAGGTCCTGCATCCCCGCAGATCCCACCAGGATTCACCCATGAGCATCCAAAGAGGTTGGGTATCCGTGATGATCCCAGCAGGGTTAGCCCATAGGCATCCAAGGAGGTCCAATTGGGCAGGATTAGCCCATGGGTATCCGTAATGATTCAGGCAGGATTAGCCCATAGGCATCCAAGGAGGTCCAATATCCCTGCAGATCCAGGCAGGATGAGCCCATAGGCATCCAAGGAGGTCCAATATCCCTGCAGATCCAGGCAGGATGAGCCCATAGACACCCAAGGAGGTCCAATATCCCTGCAGATCTAGGCAAAATGAGCCCATAGGCATCCAAGGAGGTCCAATATCCCTGCAGATCCAGGCAGGATTAGCCCATAGGCATCCAAGGAGGTCCAATATCCCTGCAGATCCAGGCAGGATGAGCCCATAGGCATCCAAGGAGGTCCAATATCCCTGCAGATCCAGGCAGGATGAGCCCATAGGCATCCAAGGAGGTCCAATATCCCTGCAGATCCAGGCAGGATGAGCCCATAGGCATCCAAGGAGGTCCAATATCCCTGCAGATCCAGGCAGGATTAGCCCATAGGCATCCAAGGAGGTCCAATATCCCTGCAGATCCAGGCAGGATGAGCCCATAGGCATCCAAGGAGGTCCAATATCCCTGCAGATCCAGGCAGGATGAGCCCATAGACACCCAAGGAGGTCCAATATCCCTGCAGATCCAGGCAGGATTAGCCCATAGTCATCCAAGGAGATCCAACATCCCTGTAGATCCCATCAGAAACAGCCCATGGTCATCGAAGGAGGTTGGGTATCCCTTCAGATCCCTGCAGAATTAGCTCATGGGTATCCAAGGAGGTCCAATATCCCTGCAGATCCAGGCAGGATGAGCCCATAGGCACCCAATGAGGTCCAATATCCCTGCAGATCCAAGCAGGACTGGCCCATAGCCATCCAAGGAGATCCACCACCCCTGCACTGGCTCCTGCAGGAAGGATGCTCACAGGCCACATCCCCCTCCTGCCCCAGCAGCAGCTCCCATCCCACTCCTCATTGTTTGCTACCTGGCATTAACTGTGCTCCTGCCCTCCCTGGATGGGGGCTTGTGCTCAACCTGCATTGGAAACCACAGCAAAGTGCCCTGGTTTCCAGCCCCAGTTAGGAGCAAGCTCCAGCTCCGTTATCGCGGTTCAGCTCTTCCCTAGCGCTGGGGAAGGTGAAACTCAATTAATGCAGGTTCATTAAGGCTAAAATTGCCAGCTCCTCCCTTAGTGGGGCCATGGAAGGGTCCCCAAGAGGGGGCTGCTGCTGTCCTGTGCCCTTAGGGACAGTGACCAACAGGGGTTGTGGTTTAGACCCAGCGGTAACTCAGCATCACACTGGGATGGGGAGGAGAATCAAAGGATGAATCAAATCAATCCCATGGGTTGAGATAAGAAGATATTACTATCTAAAGTATAATATAACACTACTAATAACAATGATAAGGGAAATAACACTAAAACTAAAAGGGGAAAGGAAAGAAACCAATAAACACAAGTGACATCCAATACAATTGCTCAGCACCCACTTATTGGTACCCAGCCTGACCCAAGCAGCGATCGGTGACTCCCCCCAGTCTCTATTCTGGGTTTGATGTATGGAATGGTATGGAATACCCCTTTGGATATAGGTCAGGGGTGCTGTCTCTGCTCTATCCTGGCTTCCTGTGCCCTTCCTCACTGGCCAGCATGAGACTGAGCAGTCCTTGGTCAGGGTAAGAGCTACTGAGCCACAGCTAAAGCATCAGTGTGTTATCAGCATCGTTCTCACACTAAACCCAGCACTGCACCAGATGCTAGGAATGAGAATAAATAAGTGTTACAGCTGAAACCAGGCCACCAGGTCAGCATCTCCCTGGTGCCTCTGCTGGCTCCAATGGACCAAGGGATGAAAGTATCAGGAGTTTTCCTGCCTGGATCAATGGGATGGAGCCCAGCGACTGGGGAGCTGTAAGGGGAAAGGGCAAAATCAAACTCGCCCCAACACAGGAGGGACCTGGAGCTGATGGAGCGAGGCCAGAGGAGGCCATGGGGATGCTGCAATGGAGCAGCTCTGCTCTGGAGCCAGGCTGAGAGAGCTGGGCTGGGGCAGCCTGGACAAGAGAAGGCTCCTGAAGGGGAGACCTTAGAGCAGCTCCAGTGCCTAAAGGGAATGCAGGAAACCTGGAGAGGGGCTTGGGACAAGGGCCTGTAGGCACAGGCCAAGGGGAATGGCTTGAACCTGCCCGAGGGGAGACTGAGCTGAGCTCTTAGGCAGAAGCTCTTCTCTGTGAGGGTGCTGAGGCGCTGGCACAGGGTGCCCAGAGAAGCTGTGGCTGCCCCATCTCTGGCAGTGCTCAAGGACACAGGGGCTTGGAGCACCCTGCTCCAGTGGAAGGGGTTGGAGCTGGATGAGCTTTAAGCTCCCTTCATCCCAAACCTTCTGTGATTCAACCCCTCCAGGTGATGGAGCTGCAGCCCCGGTCACTCCCATCCCCATCCTCTGTTGCAGGGGGGTCTCCCTTCCACCCCTGACCCCCCGATCCTCTCCTCTCTGCAGGGTAAGCGTTACAAGACTTCCCTGGAGACTGTGGGGACTCCAGACTCCAGCCGAGGCCGCAGTGAGAAGAAAACCATCAAGTAGGTTCCAGGGGCAGGGGGGAAGAGGGGCCTCTGTGCCCATGGGTCTGGCACAGCCTCAGCACAAGCCAGGCCCCCGTCATCCCGTGCCGGATCGGTGCCATCCCCATTGGAAGCAGGGAAGTCCCTCTTTGGGGTCAGAGGTGGCTGTCCCTCTGCTCCCATAGAGGATGGTCCATGCCCAGCTCTTTGATAGAGTGAGGGATGCTGGGGAGATTGAGCAATGGGTGATGCCCATGGTGCTGCCAAAGCATCACCGGTCCCTGCTCCTCCTACAGCGGCTGCAGGATGGGATCATCCCCCTGGATGGGGCAGGGGTGTTCCCATATCTCCCAGTCTTAAGGGGAGAAGGGGTCTGGGAGAGCTGATGGGTGTCTCCAGCACCCTCAGGAACCTCTTGTGGTTCACCCACCAAGCTATGGGCATGACCGGATGGAGCCATGGGGACCTCAGTATGGGTGTCCCTAAGGATGCTCCAGGTCACACTGATGGAGCCCTCCCTCTGTGCGTGGTTGGCACAGCTCTGTAGACCACAGGCAACAGGGATGCGGTTGGGAAAGGTGATGGGAGATGAGGCATCTCATAGCACTGGGTATGGAGTGAGGTGGGGTGCTGGCAGCCAAGGGGGGCTCTCCCAGGCACCCCAGCTCCAGCTCTGCCCCCTGAGCCCCTCTGGTATCCCACAGGGCTCTTGGGAAGAGCCAGGGATGGACAACCAGGAGGAAATAGCCTGTGACTGGAGCAAGACTGCTGCAAACCCCTTCCCTTGGCTGGCCTGGGCTGCCCATGCTGTTATTGGGGTGCAAGCATCTGGGGCTACCTTGGGCACCTCTCCATTGGGCCACAGTGGGGACTGGAGGAGGAGGCACATCCCCTCCTGATGCCACGGCACATGGGGCTCTCCATCCCCAGCTCCAATGGGTTCCATCAACCCAGAGCCACTGTTGGACATCAGTGAGGGCTGGGCAAGGCCCCAGCATCAGTGAGGAGCTGCTGGGCTCCAGAGCCCCCAGCACACAGCTATAGTGGGATGCTATGGGTCACTTGCTGGAGCCAGGAGGTTCAGGCTTGGTGCTGGTAATGGTCTGGTTTGGAAGGAGGGGACCTGGAGGGGTCTCCAACGTGCAGCAGCATCGTGGTTAACCAAGCAGTGTGCGCTGCCAGGACCTGGCTGCTGAGGAGGCAAGGACACACAGACACGTGTGATGGGGACACACAGGCAGGTGTGATGGGGACACACAGACACGTGTGATGGGGACACACAGACACGTGTGATGGGGACACACAGGCAGGTGTGATGGGGACACACAGACACGTGTGATGGGGACACACAGGCAGGTGTGATGGGGACACACAGACACGTGTGATGGGGACACACAGACACGTGTGATGGGGACACACAGGCAGGTGTGATGGGGACACACAGACACGTATGATGGGGACAGACAGACACGTGTGATGGGGACACACAGACATGTGTGATGGGGACAGACAGACACGTGTGATGGGGACACACAGACACGTGTGATGGGGACACACAGACACGTGTGATGGGGACACACAGACACGTGTGATGGGGACACACAGGCAGGTGTGATGGGGACACACAGACACGTGTGATGGGGACACACAGGCAGGTGTGATGGGGACACACAGACACGTGTGATGGGGACACACAGACACGTGTGATGGGAACACACAGACACGTGATGGGGACACACAGACACGTGTGATGGGGACACACAGGCATGTGTGATGGGGACACACAGGCACGTGTGATGGGGACACACAGACACGTGTGATGGGGACACACAGACACGTGTGATGGGGACACACAGACACGTGTGATGGGAACACACAGACACGTGATGGGGACACACAGGCACGTGTGATGGGGACACACAGGCACATGTGATGGGGACACACAGACACATGTGATGGGGACACACAGACACGTGATGGGGACACACAGGCACGTGTGATGGGGACACACAGACACGTGTGATGGGAACACACAGACACGTGATGGGGACACACAGACACGTGTGATGGGGACACACAGACACGTGTGATGGGGACACACAGACACGTGTGATGGGGACACACAGACACGTGTGATGGGAACACACAGACACGTGATGGGGACACACAGGCACGTGTGATGGGGACACACAGGCATGTGTGATGGGGACACACAGGCACGTGTGATGGGGACACACAGGCAGGTGTGATGGGAACACACAGGCACGTGTGATGGGAACACACAGGCACGTGTGATGGGGATACACAGGCACATGTGATAGGAACACACAGGCACGTGTGATGGGAACACACAGGCAGGCGTGATGGGGACACACAGGCACGTGTGATGGGGACACACAGACACGTGTGATGGAGACACACAGGCACGTGTGATGGGGACACACAGGCACATGTGATGGGGACACACAGACACATGTGATGGGGACACACAGACACGTGTGATGGGGACACACAGACATGTGTGATAGGGACACACGTGATGAGAACACATAGACATGCATTATGAGGACACATAGACCCATGTACCAAGGACACATAGACCCACGTACCGAGGACACACAGACACATGTACCAAGGACACACAGATATGTGTGATGGAGACACACAAACACACGTGATGAGGACACACAGACACGTGTGATAAGAACACATGGACATGGATAACAAGGACACATAGACACATGTACCAAGCACAAGTAGACACATGTGATGCAGACACACACACATGATGAGGACACACAGACAGATGTGATGAGAACACATATGCATGCATGATGAGGACCCATAGACATACATACCAAGGACACACAGACATGTGTGATGGAATCACACAGACACGTGATGAGAACACATAGACACGCATGGCAAGGACACATAGACACATGCACCAAGGACACATAGACACATATACCAAGGACATGCAGACATGTGATGGAGACACAGACACGTGATGAGAACACATAGACACGCATGATGAGGACACATAGACACGTATACCAAGGACACACAGACAGACATGATGAGAACACATAGACACGCATGACAAGGACCCATAGACACATGTACCAAGGACACACAGCCACATGGGATGAGAACCCATAGACACGCATGACGAGGACCCATAGACACATGTACCAAGGACACGCAGATGTGTGATGGAGACACACAGACACATGTGATGAGAACACATAGACACGCATGACAAGGACCCATAGACACATGTACCAAGGACTCATAGACACATGTACCAAGGACACACAGACACATGTGATGAGAACACATAGACACGCATGACGAGGACCCATAGACACATGTCCCAAGGACTCATAGACACATGTACCAAGGACACACAGACACATGTGATGAGAACACATAGACACGCATGACGAGGACCCATAGACACATGTCCCAAGGACTCATAGACACATGTACCAAGGACACACAGATGTGTGATGGAGACACACAGACACATGTGATGAGAACACATAGACACACATGACGAGGACCTATAGACACATGTACCAAGGACACACAGACACATGTACCAAGGACACACAGACACATGTGATGAGAACACATAGACACGCATGACGAGGACCCATAGACACATGTCCCAAGGACACACAGACACATGTACCGAGGACACACAGACACGTGCCGGGCACACCGCGCTCCCCAGCACCTCTCTAACCCCTCACCATCCTTCTTTCCTCCCCAGCCAATGGAGCCACCCACTCCTGTCTCTCCACAGCTCTTCCCTGCTCCATCCATCCATCCATCCATCCATCCATCCATCCATCCATCCATCCATCTCTCCTCCTGTATGTGTGTGCGTGCGTGTTGGTGCCCGAGGGGTGGGCAGCCCCGTGTCTCTCCGCAGGATCCCAGCGCTCCGGGGCTTGAGGGCTGCTTTTCCTTCCCTTTCACAGGAATTCAGCTTCTTTCTCTTGTATTTCCCTTTTCTTATCTCTCCGCCCTGGTCTCCGGCCGCTGTAGCGATCTAGACAGAGACTTTTGGAATAACAATGACAACACAGTGCAGCAGAAATGGAGCTCCTACCCTCCCAAGGAGTTTATACTAAACATTTCACCTTACGCCCCGTACGGTGACCCGCGCCTTTCCCTCAAGTGAGTCTCTCCTTGCCTGGTTTGCTCCGTGTAGTGAGTATATGGGCAGCACCCACTCGCCTTCCTCCTCCTCTTCCTTTATCCTTCCTTCCTCCTCCCCGCACGCCACCCATGGGCCGCCCCATGGAGACGAGCAACCCCTTCCTTCCCGCTGGGGACCCCCCCCTCATCCTCTCCACGGCTCATAGGATGGGGTTGCGCGTTGGGGGGCACCCCCTCGGTGGTGGGGACGGGTCCCCCCCCGGGGTTGGGGCTGCCGGCGAGCGGGACCCTCCCCTTGAACCCTCCCTCTGCCCCTGTACATTGGATGGTTCTGCCGAGCCCCCCCCCTTCCCTAAGCCAGGATCCCTTTTCCTTTGCAGTGCTGATGTCTCTCTTTCTCTCTCTGTCTGTCTGTCCGTCTCTTGTCCGTCTGCCCCCCTCCTTTCCGGCTCTCTCCCTTGTAACCCCTTCGATCCCTATCAAACGGCTCCTTCTTTTTCTCACGTCCATCCCTCTGGCTTCCTTCCTTGTCTGTCCTGGGGGGGTCTGGCCGCCGGCCCGGCCCAGTGGCTCTCTGTTATCAGGGGCCAAGCTGACGGCATCGGCCGCGGCGGGGTTGGCTGGGGACCGCGACGGCCGCCCTGGGGACAAGCAGCGGCTCGGCGAGGACGGCCTGAGGAGCAGCATCTCTGCCCACAGCGAGCCCGGTGCGGGGAAGGCAGCGCGAGGCCGCTGGCACACGGTGCAGAGCCACTTGGCCGCAGGGAAGCTCAGCCTGTCCAAGTGAGTGAGCACCACCGACAGCGTGCTTGGATGGGGGTCACCGCAGCGGAGGAGCTGCCCGTGCCCCCTCGATGGGGTCTGGCAGGGTTTTGGCTGCAGGAGAAGCGCCGTTGGGTGCTGTTCCCGGTGTTGTTTCCAGTGCCGAGGGTGGCTTCGTGCGGTGCCGCTCGGTGTCCCCAGGGAGGCTCCCTGGAGCATCATCGTGGTGGTGGCCCAAAGGCAGGAGCTGCAATCCCATCTCCCCATCCTTAGGATGTGGGCATCACCAACCTCTTCCCTGACCCATGAGACCCGGTGCCAGCATCTCATTTAGAATCATAGAATAGTTAGGGTTGAAAAGTACCTTAAGATCATCCAGTTCCAACCCCCTGCCATGGGCAGGGACACCTCACTCTAAACCATATTACCCAAGGCCTCATCCAACGTGGCCTTGAACACCCCCAGGGATGGAGCATTCACAAGCTCCTTGGGCAACCCATTCCAGTGCCTCACCACCCTCACAGGAAAGAATTTCCTCCTTAGATCCAATCTAAACTTCCCCTGTTTCAGTCTGAACTTGCGGCTCCACATCCCGATACTGGCAGATAGCTTGGGAATACGGTGGTTTATCAGATCGAGGGGAAAACCAGAGCTTTGGCAGTGGCAAACGTGGGTGAGGGTCTTGGTGAGACCCTCCAATGCTGGCAGTGACCATAGGTGGTTGATCTGGCTGTGGGCTCCATCCTGCGTTCTGTCTCTGCTCTGGTTCCCTCATTCCGATGCTCCTGGTGGGTCCCAGCACCCTCAGAGAGCTCAGTGGGGATGGCAAAGGCGCTGCTGTTCCTCATTCCCAATGGCTTCTTCCAGCTTTGTTGGTAGGGAGGAAACCTTTTCAAAGGGGAAAGGCCACTCCTAATGTCTTGGTCAAACCCCAACTGCTTCCTGGAGCCCCAGAGATTGGTGTCCCCCCCTGTTGGGAGCTGCAGTACCTGTTTGGAGTGATGCTGGTGTGGGGATGTGCTCTGTTCTTCTGGCTCCAGAACTGGAGGGGTTGGCAGCGGGACAGATGGATGATGGATGGGTGATGCTGTAGCTCACAGGGCTGGCATAGGCAGCAAGGGCAGAGTTAATGGGGAATGGAAGCCACCAGAGAAGCATCCTCCTGCCTTTCAGCATCTCTTTTGTGCAGAGCTTTTGGGTTTAGGGGTCTTCATGGGGGTCAGATGCTGTGACCCTCCTCTGGTACCGGGAACACCTGGATGGATGCAGGAGGGTGTGCAGGCAGAGTAGAGGCAGGGCAGGCAGGTGATGCGGGCAGGGTGTACAGGCAGAGGATACAGGCAGGGCATGAAGAGTGCAGGCAGGGTATGAAGGGTGCAGGCAGGGTGCAGGCAGGTTGTGCAGACAGGGTATGCAGGGTACAGGCAGAGTGTACAGAATACAGGCAGGGTGTGAAGGGTACAGGCAGGATGCAGGCAGGTTGTACAGGTAGGGTGTGCAGGGGGCAGGCACGGTAAAGGCAGGTTGTACAGTGTACCTGCAGTGTGTGCAGGGTGCAGGCAGGGTGTGCAGGGTACCTGCAGTGTGTGCAGGGTTCAGGCAGGATGTGCTGGGTGCAGGCAGGGTATGCAGGGTACAAGCAGGTTGTACAGTATACCTGCAGTGTGTGCAGGGTGCAGGCAGGGTGCAGGCAGGGTGCAGGCAGGGTATGCAGGGTACAAGCAGGTTGTACAGGGTACCTGCAGTATGTGCAGTGTGCAGGCAGGGTGCAGGCAGGGTGCAGGCAGGGTGTGCAGCATGTAGGCAGGGTATGCAGGATACTAACAGGTTGTGCAGGGTACCTGCAGTGTGTGCAGGGTGCAGGCAGGATGTGCAGGGTGCAGGCAGGGTAACATAGGGTACAGGCAGGGTGTGCAGGGTACCTGCAGTGTGTGCAGTGTGCAGGCAGGATGTGCAGGTTGCAGGCAGGGTAACATAGGGTACAGGCAGGGTGTGCAGGGTACTTGCAGTGTATGCAGTGTGCAGGCAGGATGTGCAGGGTGCAGGCAGGGTATGCAGGATACTAACAGGTTGTGCAGGGTACCTGCAGTGTGTGCAGGGTGCAGGCAGGGTGCAGGCAGGGTATGCAGGATACTAACAGGTTTTGCAGGGTACCTGCAGTGTGTGCAGGGTGCAGGCAGGGTGCAGGCAGGGTGCAGGCAGGGTGTGCTGCCGCCTGGCACGGTGCTGGCAGGAGCTCTCGCCTCCGGCTGGCTCGGGGCCGAGAGGAGCCAGATTTAGTTCCCTGCGAGTGAGAGGTTGTAAATGGAACTAATTTGGGACCGGGGAGGAAAGCAAAAGGAGGTCGGCGGCAGGCACAAGGTGGGGGGGACGCACGGAGCAGCGCCAGGGCAGCACCCCACTGCCTTCAGCCCTTCCATGGGGCTGGATCCATCCCAGCTCTCAGCTCCTCTCACCCCCCCTCCCTCCTCTCTCCCTTTCTCTCCCCTTTCGCTCTTTCTTCCCCTCTATTTTTTATGTTGTAAGCTCCTTATCCTGCCCCCCCGCTGCTGGCAATGCGCGACGGCACCGCTTCATCACCACGCAGGGGACTGCGGTTGGCTCCGTGGCTATTGCTGGAGGTGGGGCCAGGCCTGGGGGCTTTGGCCAGGCTGGATGGACCCTCCTTGGTGTCACAGCCACGAGCTTTGCAGGCTGCTGTGGGCATCAGCACCGTGCCTGGCTGCATGGGACATGCCACGCATGGGCTGCATGGCCAGCACCGCCGCTTCCCGCACCCGCTTATTCCCTTTCCAACAACCAGATGAACCCGTTCCACGCAGGGCCCGGCTTCCCTGCTCTCCCTACCCCAATGGGGCCGCGTCTGCATCACCCCCATCCCACTATCGGAGCACTGGGAGCGTGGCTGGACCCTTAACGGGGTCCCTCACCGCTGGGGAGCTTGCTGGCTCGTCCCCACCACGGGTGGCTCGACCCTGTCCATCACTGTGGGACCCCATTTGACACAGTCCCATGGGACGGGTGATGCTGAGGCCCAGCTGGTGCTGGGCTGGGAGGGATGGAGATGGGGATGGGGACCGGCAGCACGTGAGCGGGCGCCACGGGACTCGCCTTCCACGCAGCAGCCTAATTCCTCAGCTGGCAGATGAGGTCGCCCGGCGCGCTGGGAAGGTGCCTGCTGCTGCACGGCAGGCACGGGAGAGGGAGGGCACCCAGCACCATCACCCCCCATCACCAGCGACATGGCAACGGGGCGACAGCGCCGGGCCAGCGGCGAGCCGGGGCGCAGGGGCAGAGGAACCGGTGGCTGCATCCGCTGGGCGCTGCCGGAGCGCTCCCTGCGCTGGGGCATCTTCTCTCTAACGCTCTTCTTTTCCTTCCTCCAATTCTACCCCTTCACCTTCTTCTCCTTTCTCTCCTCTCCTCTGCCCTTCCTCTCCCTAAGTTTCGAGGACTCCACCTTGTCCACAGCCACTACCCTTGAGTATATCCCCACCTCAGCAGGCGACCCCAAATGCCAGAGGCCCCGCACGCTCATGCGCCAGCAAAGTCTGCAGCAGCCCCTCAGCCAGCACCAGCGCTCCAACCACAGCCAGCCCACCACCAGCCAGAGCCTGGGCCACCTCCAGGCTCACAGCGGCTCCTCGGCCGGCACCGGCACCGGCACCGGGACCGGCACAGCCCGGGGCTCCCGCGGGGGCCAGGCGCGCCCCGGCATCGCCGCCGGCTCCAAGCATCCGACGGCCGGCGGCCGGAGCCGCTCCAATCCCGGCAGCTGGGACCATGTGGTGGGGCAGATCCGCAACCGCGGCTTGGACATGAAGTCCTTCCTGTAAGTGCGCGCTCTTCTGCTCTCCCCTTGGCTGCCTCCTCTGCTCCTGGCTTTGCTCTCTCCGTTGCCCTGTCCTTTGCTATCTCTTTCGCTCTCTCATTTGCTCTCTCCGTGGCATTCTCCTCTGCTCCCTACTTTGCTCCCCTTCACATTCTTCTCTCTCCTCTGCTCTCCCTTCTCCTCTCCCCTCTCCACTTCCTTTTCTTCCTCTCCTCTTCCGTCTCCTCTTCCTTCTCTTCCTTTGCCTCTCCTCCTCCTTCTCCTCCTCCTCCTTCTTCTCCTTTTCCTCCTCCTCCTCCTTCTCCTTTCCCTCCTTCTCCTCCTTTTCCTTCTCCTTTCCTTCTCCTTCACCTTTCCTTCTCCTCCTCCTTCTCCTTCTCCTTCTCCTTTTCCTCCTCCTTTCCTTCCCCTCCTTCTCCTTCTCCTTTCCTTCTTCTTCACCTTTCCTTCTCCTCCTCCTCCTCCTTCTCCTTCTCCTTCTCCTTCTCCTTCTCCTTCTCCTTCTCCTTCTCCTTCTCCTTCTCCTTTTCCTCCTCCTTTCCTTCCCCTTCTTCTCCTTCACCTTTCCTTCTCCTCCTCCTTCTCCTTCTCCTTTTCCTCCTCCTTCTTCTCCTTTTCCTCCTTTCCTTCTCCTCCTTTTCCTTCTCCTTTTCCCTCCTCCACCTTTCCTTCTCCTTCTCCTCCTTCTCCTCTCCTCTCTGCTGCATTCTCCTCTGCTCTCTCCTCTGCTCAGCCAGCTCCTCCTCAGGGAACCACCACCCATGGCCATCGGGAAGAGCCAGCTCCCTCCATCCCCATCCCAGCTCACCCACCCTGGGGGCTCAGGGATAGACCCCTCACCCTCCCCAGCTTCCTTTGCCCTCTGGCTTTGCTGCCCATCACTCTCCATGTGGGTGCTCAGGTCTCCTTTGCTCCCAAGGGAGTGCAGGGATGTTCCAGCCCATGGGACAGCCACCAGTGTGGTCCCCAAGGAATGACATTGCCCCAAGGATGAATGGGGGGGGGGGTCAGCCACAGTGGTGGTGGCCCCCGTGCAGGGGTGAGCATCTGCTCAGCTCCGATATCGAGCTGCTGCAGTCGTGTGGTCTTTAATCTGGCTTAACCCTATCTCCTGTATCAGCGCTGCCTCTCAGCCCTCAAGCACTGAGGGCTAATCTGAGTCCCGTGCTGTGACCACATCCCAGCACATGACACTGTCACTCCTCCATGGAGACAGCTCCCCCCCCAGCCTCCATCCTCCCCAGGGTCCTCCTGCTCCCCCTTGGCCTCCAGTTGCCACCCAGAGCCCCAGGAAAGGGGATGCTGAGGTCCTGGATGTGCTTCCCACCGGCTGGAAGTGCTCAGGGTAGGGGACACAGGTCTGACCCTGCTCAGTGCAGCACCTTCTGCATCAGGGTTAGGTGGGAAATGCCCTAAGAGACACGAATTTGGCTGCCCACCCCACTCCTGCCTCCACAGGCAGCAATGGAGTGGTTGAACCCCCCCATCCTCACCACCAGCCAGCCAGTGCTTCCCAGCTCTTCCCAATGCCAGCTCTGCCCTCTCCCACAAGAGGCCCCATTTGCCAGCTTCCCAATGTGATGTGGCTCATTCGCTATCCCATGGGTCGCATTCCCCCTGTTTCCTGGTGCTGGATCCCAGCCTTTATTGCCGGGATGGGAGGAAGAGCCGCAGAGCTGCAATGTACCGACCCAGCACGCCGCTTCCCAGCGGAGGAGCTGCTTCCATTCACCAGAGCTGCTTCCCAAAGCTTCCACTTTGCTTTTGCTCTTTATCCTGCTATCACCACGGTATAAACGTGGTTACAGGCCCGGGGAGGCTGTGCCACCAGTGCCAGAGACGGGCAAAGAGCCTCAGCCATGGCACTGCCTTCTCTCCTCCCTGGAAGGATGCTGGCACCTCGCTCCTGTTGCTCTACCCCTTATCCCCAGCCCCTCTGGGCATCATCTTGCCCCCCTCGGCAGGACTTTGGCATCCTCCCTGCCTGGACCAGTGGAGGAGAAGGGTGGTGGTGGTACCCATGTGTCCCAGGAGCTGGCACCTTTCTCCCCACAGCCCTCTGTGCCCATCACCTCCAGCGGGCAGAGCCGGGGTCCCTTTGCCATCGGGGGACCCTCGGTGCACCAGCGGCTCCTGCCTGTTCTCTGCCTGATGCTGTGTTCTCCTCTTTCTCTTTCTCTCTCTCCCGCTGCCTGCGGGGATGCCTGGGCAGGGAAGGCCGGATGGTGGTGTTATCCCTGGTTTTGGGACTCTCAGAGCAAGATGACTTTGCCAATATCCCCGACCTGCAACCCGCTGGGACGCAGCCGAACCAGCCGAACGCTCAGGGGGACAAGAGGTATGAGCGAGGACGAGGGCAGTCCCGCAGGAGGAGACCAGGGCCTCACGCAGGGTGGAGGAGGAGGAGGAGGAGGAGGCTGGCCTCGTGGAGCGCCAAGGTTGGAGCGGCACAGGGTGGCCCCAGCGGGCACCGGCACGACTGCAGCTCTCGCCCGCCGGCATCCGCGGTTCTGCCTTTGGAGCAGCGGCACCGAAAGGACCCCCCCTCCCTCCCCGCAATCCCTTCCTCCTCCCTCCCTGCCCTTCCCCTTCTGCCGTCCCCACCTCCAGCCCTCCCATCCCGGCTGCATGCTGGGGGGGGGGGGGGACACGACACACCACGGGAGCAGGGGCGCACGGATGGGATGCCCCCGATGATGCCGCATCCCATCCTAACGCATGTCTGGTCCATCGCGCCGTTTGCAGCCCGGTGTGGGGCTGGCATCACCCTGAGGGATGCGCGGACATCCCTGCAATGGCTTGTGCTCATCCCTTAGAGCCCCAGTGCTCAACCAGGGGCAGAGCAAGCGCAACAGGCTGGGCAAGGCGGGGGGATGCGTTCCCCCCCTTTTTCCTCCAAGCAAGCTGCGCCTCCGCCTGCTCCTGCCTTCTCGGGGTGCCAAAGGCTCAGCACCACATCTGGCACCGGCACCGGCAGGAGCAGAGGGGCCCTGTGCTGCCGGGAGCGGGTGTTAATCCCCTCTCGGGAGCGGGGAGGAGGTGTGAAACCGGCGGGTTCTGCCCCCCCCCCTTCCCCGTGTGTGCTCGCCGTGGTGATGAACTGGCACCGTTCTCGCCCAGCGCCTATTTATAACCCTGCACCCGCTTGGTTTCGCTCCATTGGTTTCGCTCCATCTTTTAGCACTTCCCTTTAGCCGGCACCGCGCTGAGCAGACGGGCCCGTGCTGCCTGCCCTGTGCTGGCTGATGGGGATGGGGGGCCCTGCGTGGCTGTGGGGGCCGCAGCAAGACCCTGCTCCCTGCTCGCTGCTCGCAAAGCCCCATCGCAGCGCATGCATGACCATCCCTTGCTCCCTATTCCCCTGCATCCCATGGGACACGGGGGGCTCAGCCAGCATTGGCTTCACTCTCTGCTCCTTCCTGCCCACCGGCGCTGCCGACCCCCTGCTCTTCCACCCCAAAACGTCTCCTCCATCCCTAGTTCTCAGCTTCTTCCTTCCAGCCCATCCCCGGAGGCTCCTCGGCGCGGCTCCTGTCCCGGCGACCAACCAAGCTCTCTCGGTCCGTTCACCTCCCCGCTCCTCTCTCCCCATTCCCTCCCTGCAGGCCAGCAGCGGATGATGCTTCTCCTCCTTCTTCTTGCTCTTTCCTTGCTCTTTCTCTCTTGCTGTCCTCGACCTCCGCTGGCACACGGGGTGCCCCCGCCCCGGCACCCACGGCTCCACCGGCGCCTCTCGCCCCAGCGGCTCCCACCACCAGCTCCTCTGCTTCCATTTGCCCTCTGGTTTTAACCTGGTTTTACCTCCCCAGCTACCTCGGGCTCTCCGGTCCTCCCTTGGTGCCGTCCCAGTGGGGCGGCTGAACCACGTGCGTGTGTGAGAAGGCGGCCCCCCCCCTTTGCTGCCATTGCCATCACCCCCAGATCCCCCTTCTGCATCTCCATCAGTGCGGGTGTGTGCGTGTCTGCGTGTGCTTGGCGTGTCCCAGTGGCATGATGGTGGCTTTGTGACCCTGTGGGGCCGTGCTGGGGCTGTGTGTACCCCAGCGTCGCGTCTCGGCTCGGGATGGGTGCAGCGTGGGGTGCTGTCTGTGTGCACGTACCCTCCCTTTGCACCGTGGGGCCACCCAGTGCTGCCCCATCCCTGTTTGTCCCTGTGCATCGTGGCAGCGTGGCCTTGGTGGGTGCCTCCATTGCTGCTCTGTGTGCTCCTGGCTCTCCACCTTCCCTCTGGGATGTTCCCTCCCTGGCACCGTGTCCATCATCCCGCAACCAGCCAGGAGCCACAGCCCCTCCAGACCCGGTCTCTAGAACCAGGGCAGTGGTCCTGGCTGTGGGGCACAAGAGGGCTCTATGGCAGAAGGACAAGGGGTGGTTGGCACCACAGCGCAGCACGAAGCACCCATGTGTCAGCTACACTGGACCTCACCAGGGTGGAAATGGGCCGTGTGAGGTGCAGTCTGGGTGCCCACATGGCTGAGTGGATGCCCAGTATCACCATGGGTTCTGCTGGTGCTGGGGGAGACATGGGCGCTATGAGACCTTCTGTTGTGCTCTGAGGTGATGTGTGCAGGTCTTAGGGCACGAGCTGGCAGCAGCACAGGCAGAACCAGCTGCCTGCACCATCCAGGAGGTGGGGATGCTGGTGGCACGCAGGTGCCGGGTATCCCTGCATCCCAGCACAGCATCCCAGCCAAGGCGCAGCATCCACTGGGAGAGGGTGCCCGGGGAGCCCCTCGCTGTCTCACCTTCAGCTCTTGGACCCTCTCCACTGAGTCCCTGCCTCTCTTTCCCCAGGTTACCGGCCGGTGGCAAGGCGGTGACCACGACACCGGTGCCCGGGCAGCCACCGCACGATGAGTCCGACCGCAAGACGGAGCCTCGCTCCTCCGTCTCCGACCTGGTCAACTCCCTGACCAGCGAGATGCTCATGGTGGGTGATGGGGAGCGATGGGGACGGGCTCCCCATGGCTGGTAGCCCTGGCTGGGTACCATACGGGTGTCTTCTCGCATCCCTGTGCCCACCCGGTGCCATAAGCACTGGCACGTCCCTGTCACAACGGAGGTGACGCAGCCATCCCCCCCGGGCCAAGCATGATGAAGCAGTGATGGAGATGTGAGGGATGGCTGTCAGGAGGAATTTGGCTAATTGGCACTTCCCATCCTTGGGATGTGTGGCGCGGAGCCAGGAGTCATCCGAAGTGATGCTGGTGACAGGGAGCTGGTTGAGAAGCTGATGCCCAGTGACAGCTCGCAGGGTTGGAGGTTGGGTGCTGGTGTAGAGGTGCTGAAATGGGGGGGGACGATGATGCGCAGACCCCACTGGTGGTCCCCAGGAGCTCATCACCCTTCTCCCCTTGCCACAGCTCTCTCCGGGCTCCGAGGACGATGAGGCCCACGATGGCATCAGCCGGGAGAACCTGGGCCGCATCCAGTTCAGCGTCGGCTACAACTTCCAGGAGTCCACCCTGACCGTGAAGATCATGAAGGCGCAGGAGCTGCCGGCCAAGGACTTCAGCGGCACCAGTGACCCCTTTGTCAAGATCTACCTGCTCCCTGACAAGAAGCACAAGCTGGAGACCAAGGTGAAGCGGAAGAACCTCAACCCGCATTGGAATGAGACCTTCCTCTTCGAAGGTAGGGGTTGGGATGGGTTTGGATGGACTAGGATGGGAGCAGAGCGGTGGTGGGACCCTATTCCCTCCCTTCTTGGCTGGATCTGCTCAACCTGATGGCTGGCATTGATGAGATGGGTTGGCCAAGCTATCAAGGCCATGTTGGAGGTTGCTCTGCATATAAGGGACATGTAGGGGGGCTCCTTCTTCTCCCATCAAGCACCCATGGGTGGGTGCATACATGGGAATTGATCTACCACCGCTCACATCATGATCTGCTCCCTCATGTCAACATCTCCCCATCGACACAAGGAACAGCAACACCTGCATTGGGTGCTCATTGGCATGACCATGATGGCTCTTCCCCCTCTTCCATCCCTGGCACAGGGTTCCCCTATGAGAAGGTGGTGCAGCGGGTGCTGTACCTCCAGGTGCTGGACTACGACCGCTTCAGCCGCAACGACCCCATTGGGGAGGTGTCCATCCCCCTCAACAAGGTGGACCTCACCCAGATGCAGACCTTCTGGAAGGACCTGAAGCCCTGCAGTGATGGCAGCGTAAGGCCCTGCTCCCCATCCCAAACATGGGGACAGTCCCCAAGGGGAGGCTCCCCCCTGTTCCTGGGGTGTCCCAATGGGACCGGCACCCTCTTGCTACCCCAATGGGGACTTTTCTGCCTTGGGAGGAGGTTTGGTGTCCATTGGAGAGGTTTCTCATCCCACATCTTTATTTTAAGGTATAAAGTCGCCAGAGCATCTCATTTTGGGTCAAAACAAGCCATTTTGGCTAGATCTAGAATAGTCCAGAGTGTGTCATTTTGGGTCAAAACAAGCTATTTTGGCTAGATCTAAACCACTCCAGAGTGTCTCATTTTGGGTCAAAACAAGCCATTTTTGGCTAGATCTAGAATAGTCCAGAGTGTCTCATTTTGGGTCAAAACAAGCCATTTTGGCTAGATCTAAACCACTCCAGAGTGTCTCATTTTGGGTCAAAACAAGCCATTTTGGCTAGATCTAAACCAGTCCAGAGCGTCTCATTTTGGGTCAAAACAAGCCATTTTGGCTAGATCTAAACCAGTCCAGAGTGTCTCATTTTGGGTCAAAACAAGCCATTTTGGCTAGCTCAAGAATAGTCCAGAGCGTCTCATTTTGGGTCAAAACAAGCCATTTTGGCTAGATCTAAACCAGTCCAGAGTGTCTCATTTTGGGTCAAAACAAGCCATTTTGGCTAGCTCAAGAATAGTCCAGAGCGTCTCATTTTGGGTCAAAACAAGCCAATTTAGCTAGCTCAAGAATAGTCCAGAGCGTCTCATTTTGGGTCAAAACAAGCCATTTTGGCTAGATCTAAAACAAAAGTTGCCTCCAGCAAGACCACACAATGTCCCAGTGGTAACGGCCCCGTTTCCTCCTGCCCTGATTTTCTCTCTGGCCCCAAAGCCCCCCCTTTGGGACAGCTCCAGAATGGGGGTTCCCATCTCAGCACCCTGCTCCCACAGTGGGACATGGGGGCTTTGGGTGCCCTCTGAAGGCTCAGGCCTCTGTGGGTCCCATAGGGAAGCCGTGGGGAGCTGCTGCTGTCGCTGTGCTACAACCCCTCCGCCAACTCCATCGTGGTGAACATCATCAAAGCACGGAACCTCAAAGCCATGGACATCGGGGGCACGTCAGGTACGAGCTCCACCTCTCATCGTGTTGGGTACCAATGCTCCATGCGGTACCATTGCTCCAGGCTGAGAGCATCACCTGTGTGTGTCCCCCCTTAGACCCCTATGTGAAGGTGTGGCTGATGTACAAGGACAAGCGGGTGGAGAAGAAGAAGACGGTGGTGATGAAACGGTGCCTGAACCCCGTCTTCAACGAGTCCTTCGCCTTCGACATCCCCACGGAGCGGCTGCGCGAGACCACCATCGTCATCACCGTCATGGACAAGGACAGGCTGAGCCGCAACGATGTCATCGGCAAGGTGGGTCCCATGGCACCGGCGTGGGGTGGAGGGTCCTACACAAGGGTGGGAGATGGGGGACAACCGGATCCCTGCTTGGTGGTGTCAGGTCAAGCTGAAGAAGAAGGTGGAGCGTGGTGGGGGTCCCCTTGCGTTGGCTTTGCATGGCCATGGTGGGTGGTGGCAATGAGGGGGCATTGGAACTGGCATGAGGGGGGTTGGAACTGGATGATCTGAAGGTCCTTTCCAACCCAAACCATTCTATGAGCATTGAGATGATGGGGATCCATCCAACATGGATGGAGATCCATGCCCATAGCCTGTGCCATGGTGAGCTTCAACCTGCTTAACTCTACTTATAGCAAGGCACAAATCGAAGCCTCCTATGGATCCTGTGTGCCATGGTGGGTCCACCACCAGACAGGCCCCAACCTCCATCCCCACACCGGGATTACCCACCACTTCCCAAAGACAGGAAGGGAGGAATTCCCACCCCCTCTGCATTTGATGCAGTTAAACCCATTGAGCTCACTGGTCCTTAGAGTAGTGATGGCAAAAGAACGCTGATGATCCCCCAATGCAGTGCTGGCATCAAGGAAATGTGGAGATTGGGATGAACCTGGGAAAGGAGGGGGTGGAATGGGGGGATGCTGGAGATGGACAGGAATGCCCCCATTGGGAGCATCACTGGTGGCATGAGCATGACTGTGCCATCAGGATGGATGGATGGATGATGGGTGGATGGATGGATGGATGGATGGATGGATGAATGGATGGATGAATGATGGGTGGATGGATGGATGAATGGATGGATGGATGGATCAATGATGGGTGGGTGGATGGATGGATGAATGGATGGATGGATGGATCAATGATGGGTGGGTGGGTGGATGGGTGGATGGATGGATGGATGGATCAATGATGGGTGGATGGATGGATGGATGGATGATGGATGGAAAATGGATGGATGATGATGGATAGATGGATGATGAATGGATGGATGGATGGATCAATGATGGGTGGATGGATGGATGGATGGATCAATGATGGGTGGATGGGTGGATGGATGGATCAATGATGGATGGATGAATGGATGGATGGATGGATCAATGATGGGTGGATGGATGGATGGATGGATGGATCAATGATGGATGGATGGATGGATGGATGGATGGATGGATGGGTGGATGGATGGATGGATAGATGGACAGTCAGTGCCCAGAATGCCACCACATTGCATTAAGCTGCATTCGAGCAACACAGCGATGCTGATGGTGAGGCCCATGCCCTTCATGCCCTGGCCACCCCACCATAGCCAGTAGAGGGCCGATCACCTCTGATGGCACAATCAGCAGCAAACTCTTCTCCAGGGAGGCCTTGGCACGTGTGGTTTTCCATGTCACCATATGGAAAACTGATGGCTAAACACAGCCACACACATAGGGAGCAGGATAGGACTGGAGGCTCCCATAGCAGAGCCATGGGTCCAAACCCTCCCTGTGTCCCCCCCAGATCTACCTGTCCTGGAAGAGCGGCCCCGGGGAGGTGAAGCACTGGAAGGACATGATCGCCCGTCCCCGGCAGGCAGTGGCACAGTGGCACCAGCTGAAGGCCTGAGCATCCCCCCCCAACACCACCACCACCAAGGACTGCGGGGCCGGGGGTCCCCCCTTCCCTTCCCAGCGCCCATCACCCCTCCTCAGGGCTCCCAGCCGGGAGGGAGCTGAGGCACCAGCAGGACAGCACCCGGCTCATGGGGACCCTGCGGTAGGAGGGGGATGGAGCCCTCCAGCCCCTTTGCTTTCACCTCATCCCAGCGCTGGGGTACCCAGGACCGCCCCCCCCCGGCCTCATCCCCAGCCTGGAGATGGGTGCCAGACCCCCCCCATCCCCATCCCATCACTGGGCAGGACTTCAATGAGTGCTTCCAGCCCCGCTCCCTGGGAGCCCCTCTGCCCCTTCCCAGCCTCATCCCCCCCCCCTCCCCATTGCAGGGGGGCCAGGCAAGAGGGGTCCCCCCCTTTCCCTTCCCTTCCCCTTCCAGCTCAATAGAACCTCTCCGAGCCGTCAGCGTCGCCTGAGCGGGGCCATGGAGCCCCCCCCTTCCATTGCCCATCCTCATCCCCACCGCCCTCCCCAAGCCCCCTGCTGGGGTGGGATGAGGATGGGGATGGGGAAGGGATGGGGGGAGCACCCCATGGGAGGGGGTAACCCCCATTCCCGGGCCAGGCGCGGGCTCCTGGGATCGGAAGCCATGACACAGTTCGATAGCCAAAGCGGGCTCGTTTGTGCACTGCCTTTAGCTGGGTTTGATGCTTTACCTCCGTCCATGGGCTCGGTGGGAGCAGGAGGTCGAGACCCCCATCCTGGGGCTCACCCCCCCCTCCCCATCCTGCCCCTAACCCAGCTTTCACCCCATGTTACCCCCACACCCTGGGCTTGTCCCCATAGGGCTGGGCAGGGGACTGGCCTCGACCCATGTGGTGGTACCCACAAAGGGATGCTGAGCCCCAGAGCATCCCCTTCCAGCCAGGCTGACCCCAATAAGCCCTGTGCCCATCACTGGGGTCCCTGGGGATAAGGGATGGAGCAAGTGCCATTGTCCCCATCCTGGGTAGGTGGCATTCCTTGGGTCAGCCAGCCTGGCAGGAGCAGTGCCAGCATCTCCCATTGGGATTCATGTGCCAGATCCCTGCCAGCTCCCTAGGGCCGAGGCTATGGGAGCCCCATGGGGTGCAGGGGTTTGGGGGTGACGATGGTGTCACCCTGTGGTGTTGGGCTCCCCATGGGGGACATGGGTGCTGGCAGGACCCCAGCAGCACCGGGTATGATGTGACAGCACCCGCAGCAGCAGGAGGGGAAGAGGTGGGTGCTGTCACCTCCACAGCCATCTCAGGTAGGGCACAGCCACCCATGGGCACCCAGAGCGAGCCCATTGCCCCTTCTGGACAGGGAGGACCCCAATCCTCAGTCTTCCCATGCCCCTCCGAAGGCACCCATGGGGAGGACACTGATGTGCCCCCCCCACCTTGGGTACCACCCACATGTGGGGTGCTGCCAAAAGCCAGGAGCCTGGCTACAGCCCATGAGAGTGCTTCACCCCATCACCATCACCCCTGCGCCACAATGGGGCCCAGCACCCAATGCCACCCCACCAGGCACAGGGTGATGGAGAGGGGCACCCACTGAACCCCGAGGTGCTCCATAAGGGAGCCTGCATCCAGAACCCCCCCACCCCAAAACCTCCCTGGGGTACCTGGCTGCTTGCTCCTTCTCCTACCAAGGGGGGACATCCCTGTCGCATCCCATGGGGACCACAGTGGCAGCGGGACCATCTTCAGCAGGCCCCAAAGTCCTCCTTTAGGTGATTTTGGACAATCTGGAGAGAAGTCATAACCCTGCTCCGCAGTAATAACGATGCTTTTAGGGCCACTTCGTGTTTTTAGCCCATTCTCTTTTCTTTTTACCCCTAAAAAAGAAGAGGTTGAGGATGGAGCCGCGCTGGGTGCCCACCCATCACCTCTTCAGCCAGCCCGCTCCTCCAGGGAGGATTCCATGGGGAGAGGGGTTTGTGTGTTTTAACCCTAGAGCTCGTAGCCGTTCTCTTGTCCAGGTCTCTCTCTTCTTCATGTGACGGTAACATCCAACTGGTGTGTAAAATACAGCAAAACGGGGCAAAACCACAGTGAAAAAGAGACATTAAACCCAAGGCAAGCGAGGCCGGCTTTGCTGATGACCCCCGTGCCAATGGCAGCAGCAGCAGGAGCCGGGTGGTGCAGGGGGAGCTGGGGGGGGGGGGGGTGAAGGCTCTTTTTGGGGAGCGGGGCCCCTCGTTTTCTGGAGGCAGCCCCTGTTCTCTGTAATAAAGGACAGTCGGGAACTGCCAGAGTGGATCAGCTTGGGGGGGGATGTGGGGTACTCCTGGGGTTAAGTGTTCTTACTCAGCACTGAGCATCCCTCCAGGCATCAAGCATCCCCCCATGAGCACTGAGCATCCCTTCAAGCATCAAGCATCCCCCCAACGTGGAGCATCCTGCCCCAGCACTGAGCATCCCCCGCAGCACTGAGCATCCCTTCAACATGGAGCATCCTGCCCCAGCATTGAGCATCACCCCAATATCAGGTATCCCCCCACAAGCACTGAGCATCCTTCCCCAGCACCAAGCATCCCCCAACAGGAGCATCCTTTCCCAGCACTGAGCATCCCCCCAAGCAACAAGCATCCCCCCAACACACACCCCCACACCAACACCCCCCAAACACCCCCCCCAGCATTGAGCATCCCCCACAGCACTGAGCATCCCTTTAACATGGAGCATCCTTCCCCAGCCCTGAGCATCCCCCACAGCACTGAGCATCCCTTTAACATGGAGCATCCTTCCCCAGCATTGAGCATCCCCCCAATATCAGGTATCCCCCCACGAGCACTGAGCATCCTTTCTCAGCACCAAGCATCCCCCCAACTTGGAGCATCCTTTCCCAGCACTGAGCATCCCCCCCAAGCAACAAGCATCCCCCCTCAAGCACTGAGCATCCTTCCTCAGCACCAAACATCTCTTTAACATGGAGCATCCTTCCCCAGCATTGAGCATCACCCCAATATCAGGTATCCCCCCACGAGCACTGAGCATCCTTCCTCAGCACCAAGCACCCCCCCAATGGGGAGCATTCTTTCCCAGCACTGAGCATCCCTCCAAGCATTGAGCATCCCCCCATGAGCACTGAGCATCCTTCCACAGCACCAAGCATCCCTTCAATGTGGAGCATCCTGCCCCAGCACTGAGCATCCCCCACAACACTGAGCATCCCTTTAACATGGAGCATCCTTCCCCAGCATTGAGCATCACCCCAATATCAGGTATCCCACCACAAGCACTGAGCATCCTTCCCCAGCACCAAGCATCCCCCCAACATGTAGCATCCTTCCCCAGCACTGAGAATCCCCCCAAGCAACAAGCATCCCCCCTCAAGCACTGAGCATCCTTCCGCAGCACCAAGCATCCCTTCAATGTGGAGCATCCCGCCCCAGCATTGAGCATCCCCCCAATATCAGGTATCCCCCCACGAGCACTGAGCATCCTTCCTCAGCACCAAGCATCCCCCCAACGGGAAGCATCCTTTCCCAGCACTGAGCATCCCTCCAAGCATCGAGCATCCCCCCATGAGCACTAAGCATCCTTCCGCAGCATCAAGCATACCCCCAACGTGGAGCATCCTTCATTCCCCAGCATTGAGAATCCCCCACAGCACTGAGCATCCCTTCAACATGGAGCATCCTTCCCCAGCATTGAGCATCACCCCAATATCAGCTATCCCCCCACGAGCACTAAGCAGCCTTCCACAGCACCAAGCATCCCCCCAACGTGGAGCATCCTTTCCCAGCACTGAGCATCCCCCCCAAGCAACAAGCATCCCCCCTCAAGCACTGAGCATCCTTCCTCAGCACCAAACATCCCTTTAACATGGAGAATCCTTCCCCAGCATTGAGCATCCCCCCATGAGCACTGAGCATCCTTCCTCAGCACCAAGCATCCCTTCAGCATCAAGCATCCTTCCTCAGCATTGATCATCACCCCAATATCAGGTATCCCCCCCACAAGCACTGACCATCCATCAGCACCAAGCATCCCTTCAGCATCGAGCATCCTTCCCCAGCACTGAGCATCTCCCCCCCACCCAAGCAACAAGCATCACCCCAATATCAGGTAACCCCCCTTAAGCATTGAGCATCCCTTCAATGTCGAGCATCTTTCCCCAGCACTGAGCATCCCCCCAAGCATCGAGCATCCCCCCAAAAGCATCGAGCATCCTTCCTCAGCACTAAGCATCCCCCACAGCACTGAGCATCCCTTTAACATGGAGCATCCTTCTCCAGCATTGAGCATCCCCCCAGTATCAGGTATCCCCCCACGAGCACTGAGCATCCCCTCAACATCAAGCATCCTTCCCCAGCACTGAGCATCCCCTTCAAGCAACAAGCATCCCCCCTTCAGCACTGAGCATCCCTTCAAGCACTAAATGCCCCCCTCAAGCATCCCCCCAAGCAACAGCATCCCCCCAACATCAGGCATCCCCCCTTCAGCACTGAGCATCCCTCCTAGCACCAAATACTCCCCTCAAGCATCCCTCCAAGCACCAAGCATCCCCCCAACATGGAGCATCATTCCCCCAGTGCCCTTAGCACTAAAATATCCTTCCCCATCACTAAGAATCCCCCCAAGCACTGAGCACCCCTTCACCTTGTGCATCCCTGCACCTCATGCACCTCTGCACAAGGCAAGGGAAGGATGAAGCAGGATATACCCAAGGACCCTCTATTGAAGAGGGTATGTGCTAGGGGTGAAGCACTCCAAAGAGAAGGGACAAAACCAGCCCATACCCCAAAGCACCCCCATGGGCTCTAGGATGCCCCTTGCAAGCTGCCCAACACCACCTGCATGGACTTAAGGCTGGGCCTGCTAATGGGAGCATCCAATCAGGGCAATTAATGAGGGTTTATTAAGAGCAGCCCTCAGACAAGGAGCTCCTCAAGGCAATGTGGCTGCAAGCAGAGGCTGTGCTGGGAGGTGGCTCCTGCCTGGGCTTGGAGATCCAGTGTGGACTTTGGGGTCCCCAAATGGGGGGATGGTGCTGGTATCCCAAAGGCAGCAGCTTAAGGGTGAGTGCTGGGTCCCTGGGGGGTGATGTGTGGGGTAGGGACCAGAACCCACCTCTGGGTTGAGGGATAGAGGCAGGGAATGATGTCCTGCATGGAGAGAGGCAGGGAATGATGTCCTGTATGAAGAGAGGCAGGGAATGATGTCCTGTACGAAGAGAGGCAGGGAATGATGTCCTGGATGGAGAGAGGCAGGGAATGATGTCCTGTATGGAGAGAGGCAGGGAATGATGTCCTGCATGGAGAGAGGCAGGGAATGATGTCCCGTATGGAGAGGGGCAGGGAATGATGTCCCGTATGGAGAGGGGCAGGGAATGATGTCCCGCATGGAGAGAGGCAGGGAATGATGTCCTGCATGGAGAGAGGCAGGGAATGATGTCCTGTATGGAGAGAGGCAGGGAATGATGTCCTGCATGGAGAGAGGCAGGGAATGATGTCCTGCATGGAGAGAGGCAGGGAATGATGTCCTGCATGGAGAGAGGCAGGGAATGATGTCCTGCATGGAGAGAGGCAGGGAATGATGTCCTGCATGGAGAGAGGCAGGGAATGATGTCCTGTATGGAGAGAGGCAGGGAATGATGTCCTGCATGGAGAGAGGCAGGGAATGATGTCCTGCATGGAGAGAGGCAGGGAATGATGTCCTGCATGGAGAGAGGCAGGGAATGATGTCCTGTATGGAGAGAGGCAGGGAATGATGTCCTGCATGGAGAGAGGCAGGGAATGATGTCCTGCATGGAGAGAGGCAGGGAATGATGTCCTGGATGGAGAGAGGCAGGGAATGATGTCCTGGATGGAGAGAGGCAGGGAATGATGTCCTGTATGGAGAGAGGCAGGGAATGATGTCCTGTATGGAGAGAGGCAGGGAATGATGTCCTGCATGGAGAGAGGCAGGGAATGATGTCCTGGATGGAGAGGCAGGGAATGATGTCTGTATGGAGAGAGGCAGGGAATGATGTCCTGTATGGAGAGAGGCAGGGAATGATGTCCTGTATGGAGAGAGGCAGGGAATGATGTCCTGGATGGAGAGAGGCAGGGAATGATGTCCTGGATGGAGAGAGGCAGGGAATGATGTCCTGTATGGAGAGAGGCAGGGAATGATGTCCTGGATGGAGAGGCAGGGAATGATGTCCTGTATGGAGAGAGGCAGGGAATGATGTCCTGTATGGAGAGAGGCAGGGAATGATGTCCTGTATGGAGAGAGGCAGGGAATGATGTCCTGTATGGAGAGAGGCAGGGAATGATGTCCTGGATGGAGAGAGGCAGGGAATGATGTCCTGTACGGAGAGAGGCAGGGAATGATGTCCTGGATGGAGAGAAGCAGGCAATGATGTCCTGCATGGAGAGAGGCAGGGAATGATGTCCTGTATGGAGAGAGGCAGGGAATGATGTCCTGTACGGAGAGAGGCAGGGAATGATGTCCTGTACGGAGAGAGGCAGGGAATGATGTCCTGTATGGAGAGAGGCAGGGAATGATGTCCTGGATGGAGAGAAGCAGGGAATGATGTCCTGCATGGAGAGAGGCAGGGAATGATGTCCTGCATGGAGAGAGGCAGGGAATGATGTCCTGTATGGAGAGAGGCAGGGAATGATGTCCTGTACGGAGAGAGGCAGGGAATGATGTCCTGCATGGAGAGAGGCAGGGAATGATGTCCTGTACAGAGAGAGGCAGGGAATGATGTCCTGCATGGAGAGAGGCAGGGAATGATGTCCTGTATGGAGAGAAGCAGGGAATGATGTCCTGGATGGAGAGAGGCAGGGAATGATGTCCTGCATGGAGAGAGGCAGGGAATGATGTCCTGCATGGAGAGAGGCAGGGAATGATGTCCTGTAGGGAGAGAGGCAGGGAATGATGTCCTGCATGGAGAGAGGCAGAGAATGATGTCCTGGATGGAGAGAGGCAGGGAATGATGTCCTGCATGGAGAGAGGCAGGGAATGATGTCCTGCATGGAGAGAGGCAGGGAATGATGTCCTGCATGGAGAGATGCTGCTTGGTGAGGCAGGGACGTGCCAGGAGCTGGCTGCCACCACTCATGCTCAAGTGCCTGTGTTAAATAATTCACTGAGCACTGGTCTTGAATAAGCAAGAGAAACTCCAGACGCAGGGAAAGGAGCGGAGCCAGGCTCTGTGTGCCCTCTGCATCCACCTCTCCTTAGCGTTAGACCTGGTAGAAGGGGACAAATCCATCCCATTGCCAGTCCTGCATCCTGATGGAGGGTAAATCCCTGCTGCTTCCACCCCTTTGGGCCCTGGTTTGCACCAATCCTGCGCTCTTTGGCACTCCCAAGCTATAGATGGCACCAGTGCCACCGAGCCTGGGCTTGTTTTAGCACGCTCCATCCTTGGACACAGCAAAGAGCATCCACGCTTGGCCTGGCGCCGCGATCCCGGTGCTCCTGTTGCACGGAGCCAGCCCCATTCCCGAGCCTCTTCCTTTGTGTTTGTCGGGAGCAGATGGAAATAGCAGCGTGATCCCAGCTGCGCTGAGGCCGTGAGCTGTGGTACACGGGGATGGGGAGTGGGCAGGGATATATATAGAGACAGACGGATGGATGATGCATTGCACTCACCAGCATCCCCAAGGTGTCTGTGTGTAGCAGGAAGGGGTGAGGTTCCTGCTGAGTGCAGCAGTGCCTGCACCCACACCTTGCTCTTTTCCCAAGCCACAGGGTGAAAACTGAGGCTGGAATAGTGGGAAAGGGATGCAGGGATCCCCATCCCATGGGTCTGGATCTGGCTGCAAGGACAAACTGTTGGCACCAAGGCTGCCTTTACCCCCACCCTGCAAGCATGGACTGGTTGGTAAGGGTCTGCATGGAGCTGGTGGGAGCAGGAGGGATGTGCCATGTAGGAATTCCCATCTTATAGCTGGAGCTTGGAGTCTCTGCCAACACCAGCGCTCCCATGGGGTGATGCACCCCAGGATCTACAGCATGACCCCGAGGGCTGGGAGCCCCCCCATTGCTGTGTCAGCACCCCAGGGTGCCACACATGGGGCTGGGGGTGCCCCATGCCCACTCCCACCCACAGCGGTGAAGGCTGCTTGGATGGCAACAGGGACCAAGAGCCTGTATCTGTCCCTCTATGGAGACCTGGATTTGGGGGATCAGACCTGCCAGATCCAGCATCCTGAAGTGGGATTGGGAATGGGGCCACCTCAATGCTGGGAAGTCAGGGGCTCCATCAGGGGCTGGCACCAGCCTGGATGCGGCTGCTCCAGCGCATCCAGAATAGCTGTGGTTGCACCACAGAGCAGGCAGGGAGGGGAAGAGCCGGGCTGCATCCATCCCCTCGGCATGGGAGAGGATGTGGTGGGAGCATTGGCTGCCTCCCAGCCACCAACCCCAAACCCCCTTGTGATCAACAGCGGATACATGGGGACCTCCAGCCCTCCCAATGGTGCTGGTGTGGCTGAGCTCCTGCTGCGGCTTGGGGACAGGCAGAGGGAAGCAGAGCTCCCTTCAATGCCAGCAGCAATAGGGGCTCCTGCACATGGAGGGGTTGCTGTATTCCAAGTGGGTCTGAAATAGACCCTATCCCACAGAACAGGCCCATGCCCTGCCTCTCACACCAGGTTTCCTTGGGTTTGTGCTTTTTATTGCTTGAGTTTGGTACAAAGAGCACTCGGGGAAGGGAAGAGGAAGGAGCAGGGGGCAGCCCCTGGCTTTGGTGCCCCTTTCGAGGCAGACAGAGCAAGAGACGGGGCTCCTTGTCCTATACCGAGGTAAAACCCTTTCCAGGCTTAAGACAGGCCCAGGAGGACCCCAGCAGGGAGTTCGCTCCCCTGCATCCCAATTCCAGCAGCAGGATAAGGGATTGGGGGTGAAAAGGGATCCATGCCCTTGCTCCCCAACCTTGCTGCTCTTCAGGTCGATGGGGTCCATATAGATCAGGTGCAAACAGCGCTGCTTTCCCTGTCCTGCCCCACAGAGCCAGGAGCAAAGGATGCCCATGGGGGTGCTGGGGTGGCTGCAGAAGGTCCCCACGTCCATGGGGATGCCCGGCTCTCAGCAGCACCGTGCTGCCCAGCAGGCAGGTGGTGGGGTCCATGGGGTCACCCATCCAAGGCACGCTGTGGTTAATGGGATGCTCCAAGGTTCCTTTGTGGATCCCGGTGTAGATCCATGAGACTGCTCTTTGCTGTCCCAGGGGAGGTGATGATGCTGGGGCTGTTCTCATTGCATGGAGGCTCCGAGGGTTCTTCCTCCCCAGCCCCAGCTGGGAGATGCTGGTCCTTGGGAGCCTGCCCGAGGCTGCGCATCCCTCCGTGATGCTTCCCTATGGGTGTCCGGCTGCAGCGCCGCGGCTCACGTTTCCCCTGGGGAGCCCGGCAGGGCTGCGGATCCACCCTCCCCATCCCCAGGGGCCACCGGTGGGGCCTCGGTGCCTTCCTCCTCTTCTTCCTCCTGGCGCTGGAGGCTCTCCAGGCGCTCCTGCCGCTCCTCCATGAACTCCTGCGCCCCGTTCCCCACCAGCCTCACGGCATCCCCGACGCGGGGCGGCCGATGCACGGGGTTGTGGTCGTAGGAGAAGAGGCGCAGGGCGGCGAGGCCGCTGAGGTCGGGGAAGCGGGCGATGCGGTTGCGGTCCAGGTCGAGGACGCGGAGCTGCCCCATGCGCAGCAGCACGGCGGGGAACTCCTCGAAGCGGTTCCCGTAGAGCCAGAGCCCCCGCAGCCCGGCCATGCGGGGCAGCGCCGCGGGCAGCCGGGTCAAGCGGTTGTCCCCCAGCTGCAGGCTGCGGAGCTCGGGGAGGCGCAGGAGGGCACCGGGGAAGCGGGCCAGGAAGTTGCCCTCCAGCCACAGGCAGCGCAGGCTCTGCAGGCAGGCGAAGGCGGGCGGCAGCCCCTGCAGCCCGTTGCGGCCCAGGTAGAGATGCGCTAAGCGGGGCAAGTGGCAGAGCTCCTCGGGCACCTCCATCAGCTCGTTGCCGTCCAGCGCCAGCGTGCGGAGGTGCTGGAGCGCCTCCAGCTCCACGGGCACGTCCCGCAGGCCGGCCCCGCTCAGGTAAAGCTTCTGCAGCCCCCGCTGCTCCCAGAGCGCGGCCGGGACCCGGCCTCCCCGCACCGGTACCCGCTGCTCCGCCCCGTCCGGGCCCTCGGCCACGGCCACCCGAGCCCCGCGGCCCGAGGAGCCGCCGCTGCCCATCGCAACGAGGGCAACGCCGTCGCCACGGCAACGCCAATGGGAAGGCGGGGATACCTGCGCCGAGGCCACGCCCCCCCTCCCCGCGATGCCACGCCCCCTCCGCGCCCTGCCTGTACCTCTCTGTGTCCCCATCGCCCTGCCTGTACCTCACCCTGCCCCATTGCTCTGCCCTGCCTGTGCCCTTCTTGTACCCCCTTCTGCACCACCATTGATGTCATGCACTGCCTCTACCTCACCCTGCCCCATTGCTCTGCCCTGCCTGTGCCCTTCCTGTGCCCCATTCTGCCCCACCATTGCTGTCATGTGCTGCCTCTGCCCTGCCTCTACCCTCCCTGCCTGTACCTCACCCTGCCCCATTGCTCTGCCCTGCCTGTGCCCTTCTTGTACCCCATTCTGCCCCACCATTGTTGTCATGCACTGCCTCTACCCTCCCTGCCTGTACCTCACCCTGCCTCTGCCCTTCTTGTACCCTATTCTGCACCACCATTGCTCTGGCATGCCCTGCCTGTACCTCACCCTGCCCCATTGCTCTGCCCTGCCTGTGCCCTTCTTGTACCCCATTCTGCACCACCATTGATGTCATGCACTCCCTCTGCCCTGCCTCTACCCTCCCTGCCTGTACCTCACCCTGCCTGTGTCCTTCTTGTATCCCATTCTGCACCACCATTGTTCTGGCATGCCCTGCCTGTAGCCTGCCTTTCCTGTGTCCTGCCTGTACCTCACCCTGCCCCATTGCTCTGCCCTGCCTCTGCCCTTCTCGTACCCCATCCTGCACCACCATTGCTCTGCCATGTCCTGCCTGTGCTTTGCCTCACTCCTGCCTGTTCTACCCCTGCCTGCACCCTGCCTGTCCCCACCCCAGGCAGCAGCAGCACCTTGCTCCCTGTCCATCATCTGCCTGTGCCCACATTACCCCTTCCCCTTCTGGGTCCCTCCATCAGGCTCAGCACCTCCTTGGGTACCAGGCTATGGGGAGGGGGGGTCCTTCTGTTATCACCCACACCCCCTGGCACCCCTGTGTGCTGCTGCACCCCCTCGGTGCCATTTCCCACCCCACAAAGCCTCGTTAGTGCCCCAAGGCCATGGAGGGCAGGGATGAAGCCCACAAGTGACAACCCCACGGTATAGCTGCCACTTTCCTCCTCCTCCTCCTCTCACTGCCCACCCCAGGCAGCCCTGCCTGCTTTTCCCTGCCTGAAATCAGCTGTGTCATCCCAAAGGCAGCTCGGATAAGCCGGACTCATACAGCCCTCCAGTGGCTGTCGGCCAGACAGCATCCCCAGTTCCCCCCCTGTTCACCTGTGGGGTGCAGGCAGCCACCACCCCTCTATGGGGGTGTCAATGCCAATGGCGTTATGGCCAGCAAGGTTGCTTTGCAGTCTTTATTCCTCCATGTGCAGAGAAAGGGAACTTACAGGGATTTGGGGATCCCCAATGAAGATGGGGTTACCCCTAAAGATGGGATAACGGGGGGCATCACACCAGGAAGTGGTCAATGACGTCCCCCAGCCGAGTGGGGTGGTTGCTGGTGTGGAAGCCGCTGGGATGCTGGGGCTGGATTCCACCAATGGGTCTCGGTATCCAGGTTGCATCCCGGGCTGGAATATCATGGATGGGGTGGTAAAGCTGGAAACCCCCTCTTTGGGGGCTCTCTTTTGGGGTCTCTCGGGTTGCCTCCACCCGTCGGGAGAGGAGGGATGCTGAGTGGCCCAGTGTGGGCAAGACCTGTGTGGGGTCAGGGGGTGAGGATGAGGAGGACACAAAGGGATGGAGATGGACAAGAGGATGGGATCCTGCTCACCATCGTGCCCAGGGAGCTCGGTCCTTGCTGGGTGAAGCCACTGCCTCGCTTGGAGCCTGGTGGCACCGTTGGGAGCATCTCATTGCCCTGCAGGAGGATGGAAGGGGATGATGGGGGTGATGACATCTCAGTGGGGCGTCCCCTCGTCACCCCATCCCCTCGCCCCACTTACGTGGCTGTGCATAGAGGGCAGGTAATCCCTTGTGGTGAGGCTGACACTGACCTGTTGGGAGAGAAGAAGCGTCCCATAGGGTGCAAATGGGGATGGAGGGGACTGGGAGGGGGAGAAGTGTCCCATGGGGTGTAAATGGGGTTGGAGGGGACCGGGAGGGAGAGAAGTGTCCCACAGGGTGCAAATGGGGGTGGAGGGGACTGGGAGGGGGAGAAGTGTCCCATAGGGTGCAAATGGGGATGGAGGGGACTGGGAGGGAGAGAAGTGTCCCATAGGGTGCAAATGGGGATGGAGGGGACCGGGAGGGGAGAAGTGTCCCATAGGGTGCAAATGGGGATGGAGGGGACCGGGAGGGAGAGAAGTGTCCCATAGGGTGCAAATGGGGATGGAGGGGACCGGGAGGGAGAGAAGTGTCCCATAGGGTGCAAATGGGGATGGAGGGGACTGGGAGGGAGAGAAGTGTCCCATAGGGTGCAAATGGGGATGGAGGGGACTGGGAGGGAGAGAAGTGTCCCATAGGGTGCAAATGGGGATGGAGGGGACTGGGAGGGAGAGAAGTGTCCCATAGGGTGCAAATGGGGATGGAGGGGACTGGGAGGGAGAGAAGTGTCCCATAGGGTGCAAATGGGGGTGGAGGGGACTGGGAGGGAGAGAAGTGTCCCATAGGGTGTAAATGGAGATGGAGGGGACTGGGAGGGAGAGAAATGTCCCATAGGGTGCAAATGGGGATGGAGGGACTGGGAGAGAAGTGTCCCATAGGGTGCAAATGGGGGTGGAGGGACTGGGAGGGAGAAGTTCCCATAGGGTGTAAATGGAGATGGAGGGGACTGGGAGGAGAGAATTCCCATAGGGTGCAAATGGGGGTGGAGGGGACTGGGAGGAGGAAGTTCCCATGGGTGCAAATGGGGGTGGAGGGGACTGGGAGGGAGAGAAGTGTCCCATAGGGTGCAAATGGGGGTGGAGGGGACTGGGAGGGAGAGAAGTGTCCCATAGGGTGCAAATGGGGATGGAGGGGACTGGGAGGGAGAGAAGTGACCCATAGGGTGCAAATGGGGATGGAGGGAACCGGGAGGGAGATAAGTGTCCCATAGGGTGCAAATGGGGATGGAGGGGACCGGGAGGGAGAGAAGTGTCCCATAGGGTGCAAATGGGGGTGGAGGGGACTGGGAGGGAGAGAAGTGTCCCATAGGGTGCAAATGCGGATGGAGGGGACTGGGAGGGGGAGAAGTGTCCCATAGGGTGCAAATGGGGATGGAGGGGACTGGGAGGGGGAGAAGTGTCCCATAGGGTGCTCACAGGCTGGCCCTGTCGGATCGGCAGAGGTGGCAGGAAGGAGTTGGTTCTCTTGGTGGCTTTGGTGAAGCCGGATGGCTCCTTGGTGCCAAGGGTGATGATCTGCAGGGTATCTGTGGGGAGCAGGAAGGCAGGGAAGGAGTCCCATTGTATCCAGTCCTGTCCCCAACCCTGCCCATGCCATGGCATTAGCTGGTGTCACAGGGCCTGGGGGACCCTGTGTTTGGGGATGCACAGGGATGGGTGATACAGGTCAGGGGGTCCCCAAACCCCCCAGGGGTCAAAGATCCACTAATGCCCCAAAACACCCTAATGTTGGAGCTGGCCTTGGGACCACTGGCACCCCAAAACCCTATTGGTGATGGAGCTGGTCCTGGAACCACCAACATCCCACATCCCCATGGGGATGAAACTGACCCCAGGACTATCAACACCCCAAATCCCCATAGGGATGGAGCTGACGCCAGGGCCACCAACACCCTAAATCCCCATAGGGATGGAGCTGACCCCAGGGCCACCAACACCCCAAATCCCCATGGGGATGGAGCTGACCCCAGGACCACCAACACCCCAAACCCCCATAGCGATGGAGCTCACCCGAAGATGACCAGCACCCCAAAACCCTGCTGGGGATGGAGCTGACCCCAGGGCCACCAACACCCCAAATCCCAATGGGGATGGAGCTGACCCCAGGACCATCAACATTCCCAAACCCTCCTGGGGATGGAGCTGGCCCTAAGGAACCATCAACACCCCCAAACCCTGCTGGGGATGGAGCTGGCCCCAGGACCATCAACAGCCCCAAACCCTCCTGTGGATGGAGCTTGTCTGGGGACCACCAGCACCCCAAATCCATACCTGGCTGGAGAGGACTGGTGCAGCGCCTATCGCTTAGTCCAGGCCTGCTCTGCTGGAGCCTCATGTGCTGGGGACTCACCATTCCCATACAGAGGCAGGAAGGGGGGCACTCCTGCAGGTACCCACTCTGTGGCTGGTGGATGCGCCGGGGCAGGATGCTCCTGCCATCAGGAAGCCAGAGGGGCTTGAAGTGCTCAGCAGTGGTGGCCATGGCATCCTGGCAGTGGCTGCAGTGGGAAGCCACACGGATGTGATGGAGTGGTCCCAAAACTTGTCCTCTTTGTCATTCCCCCCCCAACCCATAACCAAAGGTACCTACCCCTCTGCTACACTGTGTGGGCGCAGCAGGGAGGATATGGCTGAGTGGTTGTGGGTCACGTAGCCAGTGCCTGTGTGGTGGCCGAGCTGGGGACAGAAGCCTGGCTGGCCTGGGTGACAGCAGGGAAAGAGGGGTGAGCTTTGGGAATGAGCCCACCCCCCATTTAGGGAAGCTTTTGGGCCCCCCTACCATGAGCCATGGTGTAGTTTGTGGCATAGAAGTCCATGAGGTCGGAGCTCCCCCCAGTGAGTGCCTTCTCCGAAGGGGACACAGTGTCCAGCCCCAGGGACAGCAGCTTGGTGCAGTGACAGTCAAAAGGACAAGCACCCTCCATGGTGGGGCCCTTCTGGAGAGCAGCTCCAACCAGAAAGATTGGAGCCTATGGAATGCTCTTGTGGAAGGGGGCGTTACAATGGGGACAGTGTCTCCTAGTAACGACTGGGTCACACACCGCCTGGGTTCTGCTGTCACTGTGCCACCCCACTGAGGGCACCAGGGAGAAGGATACCCCACTCCAACCTCCCCCAGGTCCCCCCCAAAATGGGGTTTCAAAGGGACAGGGAGGAGCTGGGGAGGCAGCAATGAGTTGGCACATGGAATTCCATCACCTCCCTCTGCCAAAGAGCAGAGCCCTGAGCTCACAGGAGCAGCCATGGCTTTATTCAGCATGACCTGAGAGTCCAAAGGAGCTGCTGGAGGAGGAAGAGGAGGAGGAGGAAGGCTCCAGGGAGGGCAGCAGCATCACTGTTGTGAGCTGGGGGGCTCAAAGAGGTATTCCAGGTCCGGTTGCCGCAGCCTCTGCTCCCTGTTCTTGTTCTTGGCGGAGTCCCGCAGCTTGGCCATCACCTCGCTCTCAAACTCCACTGGGGTGGGCTTTGCTTCTGGGGTACAAAAAGGGCAGTAAAGGAAGGGCTGTGTCCTGTCCCGAGGCACCCACACTCATCCCACCAGCAATGGGATGGGCAGGGCAGGGCAGGAGGGAGCTGCTCCGTACCTGTGGCCCAGTAGTAGATGTCCCAGTCGTTACTGGGCTCGTTGATGAGGCGGTCGTAGAGGTTCAGCTGGTGCTCGCTCATGAGGTGCAGGTTCTCCTTTGCAAAGAGGCTGCAGGGAGCATGGGGGAGGATGCATTGGGGTGACTGGGAGAAGAGCCAGGCTGGCACCCAGCACCCAACACGGTGCCGGAAGACATGAAGGAGCTGGGCCAAAGGACCTCCTCTCCATTAAACACGCCTCAAGTCCCAAAACCCAACCGGACGTGCCTTGTCTGTACATCCCAAAGGATTGCATACATCCTTCCCAAAGGATTTTGGCTCAGACATCAGCCAGGAGCTCCCTCACGTGCCTCTGGCTCTGCCCCATCCTGTCCTGCAGCACTGACCACTGCATCCAGCATGGACCAGAGCAGAGCTCTTGCGGTGACTGGTCCAACAGGTCAGTGGGCATCCTCCAAGCAGCATCCCATCTCCCGAGGTCTGGATTCCAGCTGCGCACTGAGCACCTCACCAAACACTTTGCTACAATGCTCAGGGCTCTTCATGGAATCCTGGGATCAACTGGGTTGGAAAACACCTTGAAGATCACCAAATCCAACCCTTACCCCAGCCCTGCCAAAGCCACCCCTAACCCATGGCACTGAGGCCTTGTCTCCACGGTGTGTGAGCACTTGCAGGGCCGGTGCCTGCAGCCCTGCCCTGGGCAGCCTGTTCCAATGCCTGAGCACCCTCTGGGGCAGGAATTGTTCCTCAGCTCCATCTAACCCTGCCCTGGTGCAGCTTGAGGCCGGTTCCTCTTGTCCCATCCCTTGTTCCTTGGGAGCAGAGCCCAGCCCCTCCTGGCTCCATCCTCCTGTCAGGCAGTTGGAGGCAGCCATCAGGTCCCCCCTGAGCCTTCTCTTCTCCATCTGAACCCCCCAGCTCCCTCAGCCCTTCCCCATCACACTTGGGCTCCAGGCCCTGCTCCAGCTCCATTGCCCTGCTCTGGCCCCGCTCCAGCCCCTCAAGGTCTCTCTTGCAGTGAGGGGCCCAGAGCTGAGCACAGGATCCGAGGTGCAGCCTCCCCAGCACCAAACCTTCAGGGAACTGAACTAGAGCCCACCTCAAGCAGTTCCCCCTCAGCTCCCCAGGGCTGATGTTCTCCCATCCCTGGCCCTGTCTGCAGGGCACAGACTGTCAGGGCACCCTGGGGAAGGGGCAGGGTGGCCGAGGAGCAGGGCTGGAGGGCGAGCAGCCCGCAGCTAACCTGAGCAGGATGCAGTTCTCCAGCATCCCCCTCTTGCGGCTCTCATAGAGCAGCCGGGCTCTCTTGGTCTCCAGAGGCTCATCCGGACGCTCCTGCCAGGGGGGCAATGGGATCTCCAGCAAATCCTTCCCGGATTCCGATGGGGAATCTCCTCTGTAGCCGCGCTGCAGCAGCCCCAGGCCCAGGGACCGCCGGCACAGAGCCCACATGGGCAGGGAGCAGAGCTGTGAGAGGGACAGGGATGGTGCAGGGGACATCAGGCCTGGCTGTCCCAGCACACACAGACCCCCCAAACCCTGCTGCCTGTGACCCCCATCCCATAAATCCCCCAGAGCCTGCTGCTCCCATGGCCTCTCATATAGTTCCCCAGACTCCACTGTCCCCAATAGCCCCATCTATAACCCTTTAGAACCTCTTGCCCCCCCCATCTCCCACATAATCCCCCCCATCCTACACACTTGCCATCTGACCCCCTCCATAACCCCCCATTTAACCCCCTAAATGCTGCCCCTGACCCCCCATCTATAACCCCACAGACCCTCTTGCCCCCCTGATCTCCCATAGAAACCCCCAAGATGCTGCCTCCAGTCCCCCCAACCCTGCTGTCTCTGAACCCCTACCTAACACCCCCCGGCCCCCCATATAACCCCCTACATACTGCCCCTGACCCCCATCTAGAACCCCCTTAGACCCTCCTGCCCCCCCTAAACCCCAATATAACCCCCCAGACCCTGCCTCTCCCCCAACCCCCCTAATGCTGTGGCCCAGACCATCTATAGCCCCCCCAGAACTTCCTGCCCCCCCCAAGCTCCTATATAAGCCCCCCAGATCCTGCAGTCCCTGATCCCCCATATAAGCCCCCAAACCCTTTTGCCCCATATAACCCCACATATAAACCCCCAGACCCTCCATATAACCCCACATGTAACCCTCCATATAACCCCACATATATCCCTCCATATAATTCTCCATATAAACCCACATATAACCCTTTGTATAACCCCACATATATTCCTCCATATAACTCTCCGTATAACCCCACATATATCCCTCCATATAATCCCACATATACCCCTCCATATAACTCTCTGTATAGCCCCACATATAACCCCACATATATCCTTCCATATAATCCCACATATACTCCTCCATATAACCCTCCGTATAACCCCACATATAACCCTCCATGTAACCCCACATATAACCCTTCATATAACCCCACATATAACCCTCCATATAATCCTCTATATAATCCCACATATATCCCTCCATATAAACCTTCATATAATCCCACATATATCCCTCCATATAACCCTCCGTATAACCCCACATATATTCCTCCATATAACCCTCCATATAACCCTTCATATAACCCCACATATATCCCTCCATATAAGCCTCCATATAACCCCACATATATCCCTTCATATAACCCTCCATATAACCCTCCGTATAACCCCACATATATTCCTCCATATAACCCCACATATAACCCCCCCAGACCCTCCTCTCCCCCCAATCCCCTACAGAACCTTCCCAGACTCTCTTACACCCCCCAACAACCCATATAACACTCCATATACCCCCCCCCCCCAAACGCTGGGACCCTCAGCCCCATTTATAACCTCCGTGCCCTTGCTATCCCCGGCCCCTATATAATCACATCCCCTATACAATCCCGACCCTCAATCCCCATCTATCGCCCCCCCCGCCCCTATAGGCCTCCCTTTACCCCCACCTCACCGCTCACCCTGGCGGCTGCCATGTCTCCACGAAGCCCCTCTACCCTCCCGCTGTAACCGCTCTATACGACCGGGAGGACCAACTCTATGACCCCGGTAGCGGTGGAGGAGCCCCCCTACACACACACACCCCCCTCCAGCAGGGGCGGGGCGGAAGGGGGCGTGGCCAGAGCCGGAAGGGGCGTGGCGTGGCGCGGCGGCGCTGGCGGTAGCGGTGAGCGCGGTTGGCGCGCGCGCTCGGGGCCTGCGGGCGGAAACGGGCGCGGGGGGGGGGCGGGGCGCGGGAACCGGGAGGGGGGGGGGGGGCAACGGAACCGACCCCCCCCCATTTCGTTACCCCCCCGTCCGGTTCCACCCCTTCCTCTCCCCCCGCCCGGCCCGTTATGGCGGTCTCGGCCCCGGTTGTGTGTGTGTGTGGAGAGGCCGCAGTGTGTGAGGAGGAGGTGTGAGGTACCATAGAGAGGGGGTGCGGGGGGGAGCCCGGTGGTAGTCGCCCCCTGGTGTGGGGGAGGTTGGGGGTAACGGGGCCACGTTGCCTTCCCCCCCCCCCATCGGGGGTTGAGGTGGGGTTTGTCCCATTAAAGGGGTGCTGCAGGGAATAGGGGGGACCCCAGTTACCCCCCCCAACCCAAAACCAAAAACCCCAACCACCCCCCGGGGGTTGAGATGGGGTCTGTCCCATTAAAGGGGTGCTGCAGGGAATAGGGGGGACCCCAATTGCCACCCCCCAGGGGTTGAGGTGGGGTCTGTCCCATTAAAGGGGTGCTGCAGGGAATAGGGGGGACCCCAATTGCCACCCCCCAGGCGTTGAGGTGGGGTTTGTCCCGTTAAAGGGGTGCTGCAGCGAATAGGGGGGACCCCAGTTGCCCCCCCCGGGGGTTGAGGTGGGGTCTGTCCCATTAAAGGGGTGCTGCAGGGAATAGGGGGGACCCCAATTGCTCCCCCCAGGGGTTGAGATGGGGTCTGTCCCGTTAAAGGGGTGCTGCAGGGACTAGAGGGAACCCCAACCCCATAGGGAGAAGTGGGGGGCACAGAGGGGGTCGCTGATGGGCTCTCCCCCCTTCTCCTGCTCATCACTGCAGTGCTCATCCCGACCTCCCGGTCCCAGCCCGGGCTCCTGCTCTGCTCCCGCCTCTGGAAGGATGTCGGAGGGGGTGGATCTGATCGATATCTACGCCGATGAGGAGTTCAACCAGGTGAGAGGCTGCACCTCCCGCTTCCCAGTGGGAAAAGCACTGGAAGCAGCAGCATCCAGCTCCTTAATGGGTGCTGGACCAGTTACAGTGGATGGACCCATTGAGTGGTGTGAATGTGTTGAGTTGAAGGAGATGTGACCGGGAAGGTGTGGTCCAGCATTGAGGAGTTCCTATGGGGAGAATCCACCAGGAATGGTCCTGAATCCTGGTGGATTTCGATATAGGAACACAGAGTGGCTTGGGTTGGAGGGAGCTTAAAGCTCAGCCAGTTCCAACCAGGGACACCTTCCCCTGGTACCCAGTGTTTGGGAAGGGGAGGCAGGGTCTGGATTGGAGCCTTTGCCAGGGAAGTGATGAGTGAGGATGGAAGGAGGGAGAGCATCATCCTGGTTGGAGAAGTGAGAAATCCCAATGGGAAGAGGCTCTGCCAGGGAATGGCGCAGGAAAGGGACCCAGAGCACCAAAGCTGTGGTCAGGGTCGTGCCTGGGAATCCCAGGAAGAAGTGATGGAGAAGGAGAGCGCGTGGCTGTTGGGAAAGGAGGATTCAGGGATGCGGGAGAGCAAACGTGGACGTGGATGCTTGGAGGTCAGATACCTGTGGAGCACCCAAGGAGGGAAGTTGGAATGAACTAAGAGGGAAGACCTGAACTGGGAGCAAAGCACATGGAGGAAGGGAATCCCTGTGAGCTCCTGGAGGGGGAGGAATCTTTGTTCCAAGGAATAATTCCTGCCGTGTTGGGAAAAGTGGGATGGTGGGAGTGGTGTTAAGGCCCTTGGAGCAGAGGGGGCTCTGCTCTGAGCTGGCTGTGACACTGCCAAAGCAATGGGATCCTCACTAGGAAGGTGGGTTGTGAAGTGAATTCCTGCCTGGATGCCCTCTGACTCCCACATACTGCATCCTCCCTCAAAAAAACCTGGAATAATCCCAGTTCTCCATGCATGAAACCATCTAGTGATGGTGCTGGGACCAAATGGAATAACCCCAGTTTGGATGGGTTTAGGCAATTTGCTTTGGAAAGCATCAGGAAATGGGTATGCCTGGGGATACCCAATCCCATCTGCACTTGGGAGCAGAGGGAATTGCTGCCCAGCTGCTGGAATACAGGTGGAAGGATTTAATGGGAGCTGCTTCATGGGTGCTGTGTGGAGATGGGCAGCTCCTGCCTATGCCTGCAGGTAGGCTTTCCCATGAAGGCTTGGCTCCCAGGAGTGGGAATGGTGATGGAAGCAGTGGCTTGAGTTGACATGGGAATGTTGACTGGAATGCTGAGAGGGCTCTGATGGTGCTGGGCCAGTCCTGGGGATCTTTAGGAGTGATTGGAGGAGGATGGAGCAATCCCAGCTGCACAGCAGGGAAAGCTTCACCTGGAGGGGCTGGTGCATGGGAGACCCAAGATCTTTGACCCCCCCCCAAGTAGATGGGGGCTTCTTGGGGCTGGAAGTGCTCATTGAGCACCTCAGGCTGTGCCACAGCAGGAAGCTAATCCATGGGATCAAAGTGCAGGGGGAAGGTGCCGTGGTTGCCCCGGGGCACACTGGGGATGCTGGTGCGGTTCCAGATCCCATGGAACAACGTGGGAATGGCGCTGATGGTGCCCGGATTCAGCCTCATGGACCCCACAAGCTGTGATGTGTCTGCTGAGCTGGGGTTTGGGTGGCAGCAGTGAACGTGGTGGGGATGGAAGAAGCTTCTCATCACTGTTGCTCTGCAAGCGTGGTGTGATGGCAAGGGCAGAGAGCAGCTTTGGGTGCTTCTGCACCATCACCCCATGGGGCTGTGGGTTAGGGCTCTTTTAGCTTGCTCACCCTCAGGGCTGGTGTTTGGTGTCTTCACTGATGGTTTGGATGGGGGGATTGAGGCCACCCTCAGGCACCTTGCAGGTGACACCAGGTTGGGGGGAGTGTGGATGTGCTGGAGGCTCTGCAGAGGGATGTGGCCAGGCTGGATCCATGGGCTGAGCTCCAGCAGGGCTCAGGGCTGGGTCCTGCGCTTGGGCCCCAATGGAACGGGGCAGGCTTGGGAAGGAGCTGCTGGAGCTGAGCAGGAGCAGCTTGAGCCCAAGGAGCCCCCAGCGTCCTGGCCTGCACCAGCACCAGTGCGGCAGCAGGAGCAGGGCAGGGATTGGGCCCCTGTGCTGGGCACTGGGGAGGCTGCACCTCGGATCCTGGGCTCAGCTCTGGGCCCCTCACTGCAAGAGAGACCTTGAGGGGCTGGAGCGGGGCCAGAGCAGGGCAATGGAGCTGGGGGCAGGGCCTGGAGCCCAGGGGTGATGGGGAAGGGCTGAGGGAGCTGGGGGGTTCAGATGGAGAAGAGAAGGCTCAGGGGGGACCTGATGGCTGCCTCCAACTGCCTGACAGGAGGATGGAGCCAGGAGGGGCTGGGCTCTGCTCCCAAGGAACAAGGGATGGGACAAGAGGAACCGGCCTCAAGCTGCACCAGGGCAGGGTTAGATGGAGCTGAGGAACAATTCCTGCCCCAGAGGGTGCTCAGGCATTGGAACAGGCTGCCCAGGGAACCAGCCCTGCAAGTGCTCACACACCGTGGAGACGAGGCCTCAGTGCCATGGGTCAGTGGTGGCCTTGGCAGGGCTGGGGTAAGGGTTGGACTGGATGAGCTTAAAGGGCTTTTCCAACCTGGTTGATTCCATGCTTAAAGGGGAGCATTTACAGAGATCCCAGAAGAGCTCTAAAACCTGCCAAGCTGCAGCATCCCCATAGGAGCACATCCAAGGAATCCTCTGCCCACCTCTGGTTTTGGTCTCAACTTTCTACAACTTCCAGGCAGGAATCCTGCAGCCTTGGGCCGTGTCCAAAGCACTCGGAGTAGGGGTAGGAGTGTGTGAGGTGGATTAAACAAACAGCTGAGCTGGGCTGAGGAGCAGGAAAACAGCTCCCTCTTGGAGCTCTTGTGCCCTGTTGGCCAGCTCCGCAGGTGAAAGGGCTGCATGGAAACAATGCAGGTGCCTTGGGAATGGGTGTTGTGGTGAGAAGGGGCTTGAGGGGAAGATGGACAGGATGGGAGTGTCCAGGGCAGCCTGGAGGAGAGAAGGCTCCTGAAGGGGAGACCTTAGAGCAGCTCCAGTGCCTAAAGGGGCTGCAGGAAACCTGGAGAGGGGCTTGGGACAAGGGCCTGTAGGGACAGGCCAAGGGGAATGGCTTGAACCTGCCCGAGGGGAGACTGAGCTGAGCTCTTAGGCAGAAGCTCTTCCCTGTGAGGGTGCTGAGGCGCTGGCACAGGGTGCCCAGAGAAGCTGTGGCTGCCCCATCCCTGGCAGTGCTCAAGGACACAGGGGCTTGGAGCAAGCTGCTCCAGTGGAAGGGGCTGGGGTTGGAATGGGATGAGCTTTAAGCTCCCTTCATCCCAAACCATTCTGGAATTCCATGAAAATGGTTTTATCTTTGTATTTCCATGACCTGAGTGCCTTTGGTTGAGCATCTTTCTCCCTCTCTCCCTTCACCCCCTGTTTTAGCCGTACCATTCCCTGACCACCACAGCACAGGGAATTTAACCACCTCATGCCATTTCTAGAGCTAATATTGCCCAAACTGCCTTTGAATCCCTGGAATTCCGGATCTGGGAGCTGTGCCTCCGTGGTTCTCTGCCATACAGGACCCAATGGGACAGACCCTGCCATAGTAACATGTAGCACGAAAGGATGCTCGGCACGCATTGAAGCCGGCTGAGCCGTGAGCCTGGAGCTGCATAGTAAACACTCCACATTAAATATAGCCTGGAACAGAGTGGGAATGAATGTGGGAATGGGGAGGCAGAGCCAGGATGCTGGAGTTCACAGCCTGGCTGCTGCAGTGCCTGCTCCTGCCTGCCCTCAAAGCACTCAGTGTGGGGCTCTCTGGAGCAGGGTTTGAGGGGGGACTGGTGGTGATGGATGCGCCTGGTAAGGAGTAAGATGCTCGTCCATTGAGGGTTTGCACCCCTGAACTCTTAGGAAAGGTGAGTTCCTTCCTGGTAGCTCCCAAAGGAGCATGTTGAGTGTTGTCTCGTTGCTCGGCACAGCCTGGTGGTGTTCTCTGCTTGAATGAGCTCTGTGCTGGGGCTCAGCGGGTCCAAAGCGAAAGGGTTCTGGTTTGAGGGAGGGAAAGCAACCCAGAGCCTCATGGTTCTGCTTCCTGGGGTTTTCCTCCCTTCTCCACCTCCTTCCATGTTAAAAGTGCTCCAGGGTTATGTCAGCATCACAAAGCAGAGCCCATCACCCTGTCTTTGGGGTACCGGTAACCCCATTGCTGGGACAGGAGGTGTTGATCCCCTTGTTGTGGGGCTTGTGTTAATGTTTGGCTGGGCTGGACCTGGAGCTGTTGGAGCGAGGCCAGAGGAGGCCATGGGGATGCTGCAATGGAGCAGCTCTGCTCTGGAGCCAGGCTGAGAGAGCTGGGCTGGGGCAGCCTGGACAAGAGAAGGCTCCTGAAGGGGAGACCTTAGAGCAGCTCCAGTGCCTAAAGGGGCTGCAGGAAACCTGGAGAGGGGCTTGGGACAAGGGCCTGTAGGGACAGGCCAAGGGGAATGGCTTGAACCTGCCCGAGGGGAGACTGAGCTGAGCTCTTAGGCAGAAGCTCTTCCCTGTGAGGGTGCTGAGGCGCTGGCACAGGGTGCCCAGAGAAGCTGTGGCTGCCCCATCCCTGGCAGTGCTCAAGGACACAGGGGCTTGGAGCACCCTGCTCTAATGGAAGATGCTGAGCAGGGCTGGAATGGGGGGGGGGGCACACATGGAATTGCTCCCCCCCTCCCTGGGGGTGTCCCTTTAGGACTCAGAGTTCAGCAGCGCCGATCAGATGGACCTGTACGATGATGTCCTGGCCGTCAGCTCCCAGCCCCCCGAGAGCCGCAGCAGCAGCAGCTCCGAGCCCCCCCCCGAGATCCGCCAGGAGCCGTCCCCCAAAGCCAACAGCAAGGCCCCGGCCATCCTGTACACCTACAGCGGGCTGCGCAACAAGAGGGCTGCTGTCTACGTGGGCAGCTTCTCCTGGGTGAGTGGGGTCTTGCCTGCCTTGCCTGCTGCTGCTGTGGGGGCCAGGTTGGGTCTCCTATAGTGGGAATGGGGATGGGGAGGTTCAGAGCTCCATCCCCACCAAGGGGCTCTTTGGAGGTGTGGGTCTTCCTCAATCCAGTGCCTGGGGTCAGCTCTGAGAGGGTTTCAGACTGAGCCTGAAGTAGGGGACTGGTGCCTGCAGTGCGCTGGCTCTTCCTTGGGGCTGCATGGATGAGTCCCCTTCTCCTTGATGGACAGCTTGGGAATGCTCTGGCTCATCCAGACCTCTGGTGGCTCTGCTCAAAGCCTGTTGGTTGATTGCAAACCCCATGGCAGGGGCTCTGAGGGTGCTTGTACTCAGTGTGTTGGGGGACACACCAAGGGCTGACAAGAGGTGACCCCAGCATCTCTCTCCTCCCCTCAGTGGACAACGGACCAGCAGCTGATCCAAACCATCCGCTCCGTCGGTGTCTATGATGTGGTGGAGCTGAAGTTCGCAGAGAACCGAGCCAACGGCCAGTCCAAAGGGTGAGAGCTGGGGCAGAATTGGGTGAGGGGGGGGGATATCCAGGTCCTGAACCCCACATCTGTTGTGGTGAGGGGGCAGATGATGCTTTTCCTGGCTGGGGATGGTAAAGCGGGGACTCCGAAGCAGCACAGGATGAGGAGGAAGGGATGCAGGACACCAGGGTGCGCTCAGCCCAAGCCCTGGGTACCAGGCGATGCTCAGCCCAAGCCCTGGGTACCAGGCGATGCTCAGCCCAAGCCAGGGTACCAGGTGATGCTCAGCCCAAGCCTTGGGTACCAGGCGATGCTCAGCCCAAGCCCTGGGTACCAGGTGATGCTCAGCCCAAGCCAGGGTACCAGGTGATGCTCAGCCCAAGCCCTGGGTACCAGGTGATGCTCAGCCCAAGCCCTGGGTACCAGGTGATGCTCAACCCAACCCTTGTACTTCCCCACAGGTACGCAGAGGTGGTGGTTGCCTCCGAGAACTCGGTGCACAAGCTCCTGGAGCTCCTACCTGGCAAGATGCTCAATGGGGACAAGGTGGAGGTGAGGCTGGCCACCCGGCAGAACCTCTCCCAGTTCGAGGCCCAGGCTCGCAAACGTGAGTGGGGTGCAGGCACGGGGCGGCACTGGGAATGGGGAAGGGGGGGCTCTCCACACTGCAGCGCTGTCAGCCTGAACCCACCAGCACCTTCAGGGTTTGGGGGGGACACTGCCAGGAGCCTCTGGGGGTTGTTTCCTATTGCTGCTGAGTCTGCTTAGATCCTGACCCGAGTCTTTATGATCCCCTTTTTAGGTTGCTCACACACTGCGAAGATCCCTCGTAGCCTCCTCCTCCTCCTCTCCAAACTGAATGGGCTTAAGCTCTTCAGCCTATCAACATAGCTAAGACCCTCCATATGTAGTAGTAGCTCTTCTCTGGATCTCCTCCAGAACTTGTCCATCCCTGCGGAGGTAAGGTGCCCATCACTGGATGCAGTATTCCAGCTGGGGCCTGGCCGTGGGGCTTTCTACGGTGGCACTCGGTGGTCCTCGCCTCACTCCGCAGCGATGTGACGTGCCCAGCCCCGGTGCTGGGGGGGGGCTCTGCTGGACCCACAGGGCAAGAGGAGGGCATGGCCAGCTCTGCTCATTGTAGAGCCCTGTTTCAGCCAAGGAGAAACCACTTCTTCCTATGGGCCCTGGCAGAGTTGCAGCTTCCTTCCTTCAGCTCCATCGGCTGCTTGGCAGCTGTGGGTGCTGTTAGACCCTGTCCAGACCTGCCCTTGTGTTCTGGTGGAGCACAGGGGTGTTTCCCTCACCCTGTCAGGCACAGGGGCCTCATCATGAGCTCACATGAAGCCTGACCAGTGCTTGCCTTGATGGCCAGCAGAGCCTGGTGGGGAGCTGTGGCTCCTCACTGAACATCAGTCTCATCCTCAGAGCCTCTTGGGACACAGCAGATTCCTGCTCCTCATTGAGGGCAACCAGGCTCCAAGTTCTTCCTCCAGCAGCTCCGTTGCTCTCAGCACTTGGGTTCTGCCCCTTCGTCTTCCTCCACGTTCAGGCCTTTCCTGAGCCTCTCTCTGGGCTGTTTCATCTCTTCGGGGCCCCAGTGAGCTCTCTGCTGGGGATCCTCTCACCTTCTCTTGGGGCTCTTTTGGCTTCTCTCCTTGGAACCCACTTTGCTCGGTGGCTTCAGCCCCTCTTGGAGGCCCGTGGAAGCGGAGGCTACGTGTGGCTGTGGCTGGATCTTGCTCTGGGCACCTCACGGGGCTGAGGGAGAGGATGCTCCTTGCACCGGTCACTATGGGTGGGGAGGAAGAGGAGGAGCGCTCCCAAGACCTGAGGGATGCTCTGCCTGTAGCTCATGGCTCTTTCCCATCCCGCTTCCAGGTGTGCCTCCGAGGGCCCATTCCCGGGATTCCATGGACTCCGTGGATGGCCGGGCCACCCCAACAGAGAATGCATTGCCCGCAGCCCGCCCGGACAAACCCCCTTCGGTCCTTCCCTTCTTCAACCGCCCCCCCACCGCCTTGCCCCTTATGGGGCTGCCCCCCCCACCCATGCCACCACCCCCCCCCTTGTCCTCCGGTTTCGGTGTCCCCCCACCACCCCCCGGTATCCACTACCAGCACCTCATGCCCCCCCCACCCCGACTGCCCCCACACCTTGCTGTGCCCCCCCCGGGGGCTGTCCCCCCTGCCCTGCACCTCAACCCTGCCTTCTTCCCCCCACCCAACGCGGCGCTGGGTCCTCCACCGGACACCTACGGCAAGGCCATGGCTCCCTATAACCACAGCAGGTGAGGGGTTTGGGGGGGGTCTCAGTGGGGTATAAATGGGGATGCAATGGGGGGGGTTTGCTGAGCACCCCACTTGTCTCTTGTGCAGCCGGGAGCTGGGTCCTCCCCCGGCCCCAGTGAGTGAAGGGGAGTTTGAGGAGATCATGAACAGGAACCGGGCCATCTCCAGCAGCGCCATATCCAAGGCGGTGTCCGGGGCCAGCGCAGGTACCGGTGACTGTGTCCCTGTGGGGTTACCCCCCCTCTTTGTCCCACAGTGGGTTTGCCCCCCTTAACCCTGCTCTGTCATCATCCCCCCCCCCCACCAGGTGACTACAGCGACGCCATCGAGACCCTGCTCACGGCCATCGCTGTCATCAAGCAGTCCCGTGTGGCCAGCGACGAGCGGTGCCGCGTCCTCCTCTCGTCCCTCAAGGACTGCCTGCACGGCATCGAGGCCAAGTCCTACAGCACCGGCGCCAGCAGCAGCTCCTCCAGGTACCGGAGGGGGGGTGGATTCGTTGCATCCCATCATGGGATGGGTTGGGATGAACGGAGATGAAAGCTCCGACCCCAACCCCTGCCACTGGAGCAGCTTGCTCCAAGCCCCTGTGTCCTTGAGCACTGCCAGGGATGGGGCAGCCACAGCTTCTCTGGGCCTCAGCACCCTCACAAGGAAGAATTCCTTCCTTACATCCAGTTTGGATCCCCCCTGTTTCACTCTGAACCCATCACCCCTTGTCCTGTCACTACAGTCCTTAATGAAGAGTCCCTCCCCAGCATCCCTATAGGCCCCCTTCAGACACTGGAAGCTGCTCTGAGGTCTCCACGCAGCTTCTCTTCTCCAGGCTCAACAGCCCCAATGTTCCCAGCCTGGCTCCATACAGGAGCTGCTCCAGCCCCTGAGCATCCTTGTGGCCTCCTCTGGCCTTGCTCCACCAGCTCCACACCCTCCTGATGCTGAGCACACCACAAGTCCTCTCCTCTCCTCTTGTCCCAGGAAAAGGCACCGATCCCGGGAGCGCTCCCCCAGCCGGTCCCGTGACAGCAGCCGGCGGCACCGGGACGTGCTCCACAGCGAGGACCGGCACGAGGACTACTTCCAGGAGCGGAACCGGGAGCACGAGCGGCATCGGGACAGGGACAGAGAGAGGGACCGGCACCACTGAGAGAGGTGAGGGGTGTCCCCGAGGTGCTGGGAGTCATCATGGGATGGGGTGGGATGAAGGGAGCTGAAAGCTCCTCCAGTTCCAACCCCTTCCACTGGAGCAGCTTGCTCCAAGCCCCAGTGTCCAACCTGGCCTTGAGCACTGCCAGGGCTGGGGCAGCCACAGCTTCTCTGGGCACCCTGTGCCAGTGCCTCAGCACCCTCACAGGGAAGAGCTTCTGCCTAAGAGCTCAGCTCAGTCTCCCCTCGGGCAGGTTCAAGCCATTCCCCTTGGCCTGGCCCTACAGGCCCTTGTCCCAAGCCCCTCTCCAGGTTCCCTGCAGCCCCTTTAGGCACTGGAGCTGCTCTAAGGTCTCCCCTTCAGGAGCCTTCTCTTGTCCAGGCTGCCCCAGCCCAGCTCTCCCAGCCTGGCTCCAGAGCAGAGCTCCAGCTCCCTTTTATCTCCATGGCCTCCTTCAAACTCCCTCCAACACCTCCATCCACATCCCCCTTACACTGGGGATCCCACAGCATCAAGAATGGTTTGGGATGAAGGGCGCTTAAAGCTCCTCCAGCTCCAACCCCAACCCCTTCCACTGGAGCAGCTTGCTCCAAGCCCCTGTGTCCAACCTGGCCTTGAGCACTCTCCATCTCCCCTCTGCCATTCCCCTTTTCCTTGCCAGCCATCCCGAGGGTTGCCCTGACCCCTCTGCTCCTCTTCCCCACAGGAACTCGGCAGGAAGTGGTTTTTAATGGACTCGTATCTCCTCCCCTCGACGAGGCTGCTCCACCCTCCCACCCCATCCCAGGCCCCCCCCAGCTCCCTCCGGACACACCAGGAGAGCCGTGGAGCACCCGGGCCTCCCACCGGACACCTCGTGGCCTTGGGGCCGGAGCCCCTGCTCCCTGCTGCTTCCCAGAGGGAACGCCAGCACCCGGCTCAGCCCGCTCTGCCCCACGGATACTGGGACCCAAAGAGAAATGGTGCTTTTCCTTCCATGGAGGGAGTCGGTGAGGCCGTGCTGGGAAGGGGATGGATCCTTCCTAACAGTGCACGGATCCCACTCCGTGCTTGGGGTTGCTGGAAGCGGTACCAGGGGCTCCCCAGCCTCCTGCCCCCTGTTATTTGGGGATGCTCGTGTCCCCATGTGCCAGCACAGGCACCCCATGCTGCTCCTTTTCCCCTTTATCCTCCCTGCTCAGCCCAGGAGGGATGGGATGGGGGGGGCTGGAGCAGAACTGGGGTTCACCCCTTCCCTCTGCCCCACATTCCAGGGCTCTCCTGCAGCACCTTCCTTGTTTTAGAGGAAGAGGAGGCAGCAGGGCAGGATGCAACCCCCCCCCCAGATGCTTATCCCTGGGGATGCTCTCCTTTCCCCCCCAACCACCCTTCCAGGGGGCACAATGAGGGGGGAAGTTCCCCATGCTCAAAGGGGGCTGCACCTCTCCAGGCCCGGTGGGATCCCAAGGGAAGCACCCATAAAGGGTCAGGCTGTGGTGTGGAGACACTGGGTGTCCCCCCCTCATTTGAACTGTCGCTGGCTAAGGAGCAAACCTGCCTCTGGAGGGGTTTTTAAGTCGAAATGACCCCAAAGAGCAGGGAGGTGCCGGGAGGCTTCCGGATGGGTTTTCTTTTGTACTTAATGCCATTTTTAGGTTTCTTTCCAGATAGTGGAGGGAGGGAACGGGGGACACACACACAAAGGAGGTGAGTGCAGAGCCAGACCCCCCTAGGAGGCACCATGGAGGCAGTGCCCCTCCTGCCCGCAGTGACTAGAGAGATTTGCTTTGTCTTTCTGCTAGGTTGGACATTGTGTAATAAAACTTGGCTGACGTTGTCAATCTTTTACATGGTGCTGGAGGGCTCTTCCCTTGCAATCAGGGAATGGGTTGGAAGGGACCTTAAAGCTCCTCCAGCCCCAACCCCAACCCCTTCCACTGGAGCAGCTTGCTCCAAGCCCCTGTGTCCTTGAGCACTGCCAGGGATGGGGCAGCCACAGCTTCTCTGGGCACCCTGTGCCAGCACCTCAGCACCCTCATAGGGAAGAATTCCTTCCTTACATCCAGTCTGGATCCTCCCTGTTTCAGTGTGAACCCATTACCCCTTGTCCTGTTGCTCCAGTCCCTAATGAAGAGTCCCTCTCCAGCATCCTTGTATCCCCCTTCAGACACTGGAAGCTGCTCTGAGGTCTCCACGCAGCTTCTCTTCTCCAGGCTGAACAGCCCCAACTTTCTCAGCCTATCTCCATACAGGAGCTGCTCCAGCCCCTGAGCATCCTCGTGGCCTCCTCTGGACTTGTTCCAACAGTTCCATGTCCTTTTTATGTTGAGGACACCAGAACTGCACACAATGCTCCAGGGGAGGTCTCACGAGAGCAGAGCAGAGGGGTAGGATCAGCTCCTTGGACCTGCTGGTCACGCTCCTTTGGATGCAGCCCAGGTTACAGTTGCTTTCTGGGCTCCAGCGCACACTGAACCCTGCTCATGTTCAGTTTCTCATCACCCAACACCCCCAAGTCCTCCTCAGGCTGCTCTGCATCTCTTCTCCACCCATCTGCCTCTATGCCTGGGGTTGCCCTGACCCAGGTGTAGGACCTTGCCTTGCCTATGAAGTGTTGGAAGTGATGAAGAGGGGTCTGGAGTGCTTTAAAGCTGCTCTGCTGAGTGGACAAGGGGTGGTTGGGGACTGATGGGCTGCTACTGAGGGGCTTTTCTGCCCCTCCAAGCACTCAGAGCAGCAGTGGGGGGTGCCCTGGAGACGGGGGGGGGTGCAACCCAAGTGCTCAGGCCCCAGGTAAAAATAAATATTTATTGGAAAAGAGGGAATTCTTGTGAGAAGGTAGCAAAAAAAATAGGAATTCTCAGTACCTGGAGCTGCCGTGCACGTCCTGGGGGGCAGCAGGGAGGGGGCTGCCTCGCAGGTCACTCCTGGCCGATGGGGAGACACCCAACGGGGGGGTGCTGAGCACCCAGTGCCTCCTGTACCTGGTCCTTTGGCGTGGCGCAGGGCCTCAGTATGAGTCTGCGCTGTTAAGGGATAAAAGAGGGATGGAGGAGTGCTAAAGCAGCTTGGAAGTCTGGCATTCCATAGGGAGCAGCCTGGGAAAGGTACCTGGAGAAGGAGAGGAGCGCCAGGACAGCCAGCAGCAGCTCCAGGCTGTAGAAGAGGAGGAGGATGGCGTTGAGGATGGCTTCCAGGCGCAGGGCATAGGTCTGCAGCAGTAGGTAATAGGTGGCCATCACGGCTGCCGGCACCGTCAGCGCCAGGCTGATGCAGAGGGGAACCTTCCGCTGGCACAGGTTGCCCTTGGAGCCTGTTGTGGGGATGGGAACAGAGGGGGGCCTTGTGGGTCCCATCGGTTCTTGGGGCTCTCGGTGTCACCAGCACTCGGAGCCATGGGGTGGGTTGGGAGGAAGGGAGCTGAACGCTCACAAGGGCCAACCCCAGTGCTCCAAGCCCCTGTGTGCTTGAGCACTGCCAGGGCTGGGGCAGCCACAGCTTCTCTGGGCACCCTGTGCCAGCGCCTCAGCACCCTCACAGGGAAGAGCTTCTGCCTAAGAGCTCAGCTCAGTCTCCCCTCGGGCAGGTTCAAGCCATTCCCCTTGGCCTGGCCCTACAGGCCCTTGTCCCAAAGCACTCACCGAAGAAGATGCGCGTCGCCTCAGTGCCGAGGTAGAGGAAGAGCAGCGCCACGTCCAGCACCAGGTTGGTGAAGGGGTAGGGCAGCAGCAGCACTGCGGGCACAGCCACCTCAGAGCCCGCCCAGCGCAGGGGCAGGGACCGGGACCGGGACCCCCGGATGCGCTCCAGGGGTACCGGGGTACGGGGGGGGCTCACCCTTGTACACGAAGATGAAGGCCTCCAGCAGGAAGTAGGTCGCGCTGTACCAGCCATTGAGGAAGAGCAGGACCTGCAGCGGGGCCGAGGAGCGCTGGCGGCCTGCGGGCACAAGGCGGCGGTGGGCGGGCAGCGCCCAAAGGGGCCGGTTCCGGCCGCACCGAGCCCCCGGTTCCTCCCGGCCCCGTTCTGCCCTCCCCGGGCCCCCGGCCGCGGGGCTTAACTCACTCCTAGGCGCCATCTTCCATCTCCATGGCAACCGCCGCCGCCCTCGCCCGCTCCCTCCGCCCTCTCTATGATCCCGGAGGACTGAGCCGGGAGGCCGCGGGTTCGAGGCGCGCAGCCGGCACTTAGGCACGGTGAATTGAGGGGGGGCTCGCCGGGTGTTCCCCCCCAAAACACACACACACACACGGGTTGTGCCGCGGTTCTCTCCACTACACGGTGGGCACTGCCCCGTTAACGGGCTGGAAACGCAGCCAGGAGCTGGGGGAAGGATGCTGGGAGGCAGAGAGTGAATGGGATGGAGGGAACAGCCCGGGGCAGGGCGGGGGGGTCAGCGTTGGAAAACACAGCTCATTTATTTCTTTACTGATTACAAAACCACTTGAGCCCCAAAACAAGGGATGCGGCTCCATCCTGATGCACAGTGGGGTGCGGATAAGCTCCTAGCATCCACCTGAGGTGCTGGTACCAGTGAGGACCAGCGGTCCCCACTGGGGGCCAGGAGGTGATGGAGAATGGAGGGGAACCGTCAGCCACGGAACTGCTCAAACTCCTTGCGCAGCCACAGAGAGTCCTGGTAGAAGAGGGGGTCCCCCAGGTGCACCGCGGTCCTCTTGTAGAAGTAGCAATAGAGCACGGCCGCTGCGGGAGGGAGGAAGAGGGGTGTGAAGGTGAGCACCCACCTTCATCCCCAGGGGCACCCCAAAAGTAGCAGGGGCCCAGCAGGGCTCCTGTGAGCCCCAGCCCTTACCCAGGCGCTGGAACACGAAGAGGGTCTGCAGGCCTTCGGTCCACACGAAGCGGCTGGAGTCGCGCCAGCGCAGGTTCTGAGCACAGACAGGAGGCATGGGATGGGGTGGGATGAAGGGAGCTGAAAGCCCATCCAGTTCCAACCCCAACACCTTCCACTGGAGCAGCTTGCTCCAAGCCCCTGTGTCCTTGAGCACTGCCAGGGATGGGGCAGCCACAGCTTCTCTGGGCACCCTGTGCCAGCGCCTCAGCACCCTCACAGGGAAGAGCTTCTGCCTAAGAGCTCAGCTCAGTCTCCCCTCGGGCAGGTTCAAGCCATTCCCCTTGGCCTGGCCCTACAGGCCCTTGTCCCAAGCCCCTCTCCAGGTTCCCTGCAGCCCCTTTAGGCACTGGAGCTGCTCTAAGGTCTCCCCTTCAGGAGCCTTCTCTTGTCCAGGCTGCCCCAGCCCAGCTCTCCCAGCCTGGCTCCAGGGCAGAGCTGCTGCAGCCCTCGCAGCAGCTCCATCACTTTGGGGACACCCCCACCCCAAAGGTTAAGCAGCTCAGGGGATTTAACCAGCGAGCCAGGACCTATTCCTGCTTCAGATCCCTGCAAATCCCCTGTCAATCCCCTGCCTGCGGGATCTGGGCAGCACCAACGTGGCTGCTCCAGACCCAGGGGCAACGGGGTGAGGAGAGACCCTCACCCTGAGGATGGAGGGGGATGAGACCCCATAGAGGAGGATGCCCAGGGGCTGGGCAGGGCATGGGGCTGCTTCTTCAGGGGATGGGGATAAGAGGGAGTTTCTTTGGGGATGAAAAGGGGAAGATGCTGCTTCAACAGAACCAGGACCCCCTGAATGCCCTCAGGGCTGCCCAGTGCCAGCAGGCTCTGAGCACTGGTGTTTGCTGGGGATTAATCCCAGGTAAAGCAGGAGCTGCTGTCCCAGCCCTCAGCAGGGATTATCCCGTGGCAGCACGGAGCTGGAGCTGCTTTCCCTGGGGGGGGGAAGAGGATTTTCCAGCCTTTAGGAAAAGGGCTGGGATGGGGCAGCTCCCTCCTTCCATCCGGATGCCAATGGGGGGACACCAAACTGACCCTGCTGGGTGGATGATGGTCTTCCTCTCATGGAAGAGGGGCTGAAGGAGGGAGCAGAGGGTTGTGCTGGTCACCCTCAGGAGGAACCAGCGGCCCCAACCTACCATAACCCACACGTGGAAGGAGATGCTGAGCCCCAGGTAGGCTGCAGACAGCAGGATGGTGCCCTTGAACTTGTGGAAGAGGAGATTGACCAGCCCAGCCTGGAAGACGAAGGTGTTGAAGAACATGAGGAAGATGATGATGACGTTGAAGAGAATAGCAATGTCCTGGATGCTGCAGGAGGAGGGAAACGGGGTGAGATCCCAACCTTCCTGTCCCACCAGGGTGGCCACAGCCCCCCTGTGGGTACTCACATGAAGAGGACGAGCTGGACAGCAGGAGCTGTGCGGAGCAGCTCCGAGAAGGAGTTGACAAAGAGGTCATAGAAGAGGAGCAGGAACTGCAGGAACAGCACCAGGCTGTAGTTGCTGGTCTGGAGCATCCTCCTTCCCTTGGCCTTGGAGCTCTCAGCTCCAGCGTCCCCAGAGGCAAAGGCAGCTCATGGCGTGGAGCTGAGGGGCTCAGTGTTGCTCGTTTCCATTGCCAGGACCTGGAGGGGGAGCAGAGCTTTGGTTTGGCAGCATGGGATGAAGCCCTGGGCTGCGTCCCTCTCCTTTCTCCCCATGCAGCAGGTTCAGATTCACCCCTACAATCAGCCAGGCTGGAAAAGGCCTTTATGATCAGCAATCCCAGCCCTGCCAAGGCCACCACAGCCCATAGCACTGAGGGCATCGTCTGTAGGGTTTGGGAGCACTTGCAGGGCCGGTTCCCTGGGCAGCCTGTTCCAATGCCTGAGCACCCTCTGGGGCAGGAATTGTTCCCCAGCTCCATCTAACCCTGCCCTGGTGCAGCTTGAGGCCGGTTCCTCTTGTCCCAGCCCTTGTTCCTTGGGAGCAGAGCCCAGCCCCTCCTGGCTCCATCCTCCTGTCAGGCAGTTGGAGGCAGCCATCAGGTCCCCCCTGAGCCTTCTCTTCTCCATCTGAACCCCCCAGCTCCCTCAGCCCTTCCCCATCACCCTTGGGCTCCAGGCCCTGCCCCAGCTCCATTGCCCTGCTCTGGCCCCGCTCCAGCCCCTCAAGGTCTCTCTTGCAGTGAGGGGCCCAGAGCTGAGCCCAGGATCCGAGGTGCGGCCTCCCCAGCCCCAACCTCTGCAGGGCCAAGGCCCACGGGTGAGTCCCAGGCCGCGCTGTGGGGACAGGCTCGGACACGCGGGGCCTCCTGGAGCCCGCACCCAGGCCTGGGGCTGCTGTGAGGCCACACGGGGCCGGCCGGGCAGCACCGGGGAGGCCCAACCCTCCCTGCCCTCCACTGCCAAAGCAGGGACGCGGAGCACGGGGCAGGTAACGGGGGTGCAGGGGGCAAGGAGGGGTGCAGGGCAACGCGGGATCCCCCTTGTCCTGGCACCCATAGGGCTGCGATGGGGGGGGGGAAGGGGACAACCACGCTTTACAGCCCCAACACCGATGTGGGCCCCCCTCGTCCCCTCTTCCCCCCTCACACCCCTCGCGGACCCCCTTTACCAGGCCCTAAGGAGGCCGCAGCCCCACCGGACACCCCCAAAGCCCCCCGTTCCCCACCGAAAGCGGGCTCGATGCTCCCCGGAGCGCACACACCGGTAGTGCCGGGGTTGTGGGTGCCGCTGTGTGCCCCCTTGTCCCTTCATGTCCCCCTCCTACCCCATCTATGTCCCCCCGTGTGCCCGCACCGCACCGCGGCCCAGCGCTGACCTGCGGCCGCCATCTTCCGTCTCCACGGCAACGGCGCGGGCACCGAGAGGAAGGCGGAAGTGCGTGGCTAGAAGGGCCGCGCTGGGGCCGAGCTGAGGCCGCTCTGGCCGCCGCTCTCGCTGATCACCGGGGGCATTGGCGGCCTGGGCTCGGCGCCACCACCGGGGCGAGCGGCGCCGGCCACGATGGAGGCGCCCGGCGGGGCGGAGGGGGCGAGGTACGGCCCCGGTACCGGGGGGAGCCGTGGGGCAGGGCCCCGTGTGCCCGGTGTTATAGGAAGGGAGTGCCATGGGGCCAGGCCCATGGGGCCAGCGCCGATCCCCATGCTCTGTGGGTGCCATGGGGCCAAGCCCGATTCCCATGCTCTGTGGGTGCTATGGGGCCAGGCCCGATTCCCATGCTCTGTGGGTGCCATGGGGCCAGGCCCGGGGGAAGCCATGGGGCCAGCCCTGTTCCGCATGCTCTATGGGTGCCATGGGACTAGGCCCATGGGGCCAGCGCCGATCCCCATGCTCTATGGGTGCCATAGGGCCAGCCCCGTTCCCCATGCTCTGTGGGTGCCATGGGACCAGGCCCGGGGGGAGCCATGGGGCCAGCCCTGTTCCCCATGCTCTGTGAGTGCCCTGGGGCCAGCCCTGTTTCCCATGCTCTATGGGTGCTATGGGGCCAGCCCCGATTCCCCACGCTCTATGGGTGCCATGGGGCTAGGCCCGATCCCCGTGCTCTATGGGTGCTATGGGGCCAGGCCCAATCCCCATGCTCTATGGGTGCAATAGAGCCAGCCCTGTTCCCCATGCTCTGTGGATGCTATAGGGCCAGGCCCAATCCCCATGCTCTATGGGTGCCGTGGGGCAGCTCAGCACTGCAGTGCCCCAAGCAATGGGTGTCCGAGCTCCTTATCTCCCCCCCCCCCCCCGACCCCGCTGTGGGGCCGTGTCCCACTGCCGTGGGGCGGCCTCTGTGGGGCAGGACGGGGCTGTCCCCACCCCCGACGGGGCCAGAAATAGCCCTTGCTGGAGGCAGATGCAAATCGCCATTCAAATGAGCTCAGCCTCCTGCTTGGAGCCCCACAGGCTGAGGGCAGGACCATAGCGCAGGTACCACGATGGGTGCTGCCCGTGGGGTCCCATTTACCCCTATGGGGCGAGGGGTGATGCTAGGATGAGGGTATGGGAGCGGTGCCTTGCATCCAATTGGGGTGAGCCCTATGGTGGGGATGGGGTGTGGAAAGGGAAGGGATTACATCAATGGGGTCCTGAGGACAATGTGGGGGGGGGTACAGGAGAGACCCATTGGGATGCCCTTAACGTTGTCCCCTATGGGGTGCCTTCTCATAGCATGGGCCCGGCTCCAGCCCTGCCATCATTCCCTATGCAGGCAGCAGCTGGGCTGGAGCCCAGTTCCCCTTTCAGCGGCTCCTCCCCACAGAGCCCCATACACAGAGGCCTTGCTCTTCCCTAGGTGCCCCCATCCCATTGTGGAGATGCTGGACGTGCCCTTCCTGCCCTTCTGCCTCCTCCTGGGCCTCCTGGGCTTGCTGTGCGTGGCCTTTGTGAGCTCCTGGTGCCAGTACTGGCGAGGGGGCTTCGCTTGGGACGGCAGCGCCCGCATGTTCAACTGGCACCCGGTGCTGATGGTGACGGCCATGGTGGTGCTCTATGGGGCAGGTAAGTGGGGTGCAAAGGGGGGGGTGCGGACCTAACGCGGCTCCATCCTCACCGCCTCATCCCACAGCATCCCTGGTTTATCGCCTGCCCGCATCCTGGAGCGGTCCCAAGCTGCCCTGGAAGGTGCTGCACAGCTCCCTGGCACTGGTAGCCCTCAGCCTGGCAGCGCTGGGCTTGGTGGCCGTGTTCCGCTTCCACAATGCACAAGGTACCCCCAATATGTACTCATTGCACAGCTGGTTGGGCCTGGCCACTGTGCTGCTCTTCTGCTGTCAGGTGAGTGATGCTCCTGCTCCTGCATCCCAGCTCCATTCACTCCCCATCCTGCTCTGCTGTCAGTGAGTGATGCTCCTGCTCCTGCATCCCAGCCCCATGCACTCCCCATCCTGCTCTGCTGTCAGTGAGTGATGCTCCTGCTCCTGCATCCCAGCCCCATGCACTCCCCATCCTGCCCTGCTGTCAGTGAGTGATGCTCCTGCTCCTGCATCCCAGCTCCATGCACTCCCCATCCTGCTCTGCTGTCAGTGAGTGCTGGTCCTGCTCCTGCATCCCAGCTCCATGCACTCCCCATCCTGCTCTGCTGTCAGTGAGTGCTGGTCCTGCTCCTGCATCCCAGCCCCATGCACTCCCCATCCTGCTCTGCTGTCAGTGAGTGCTGGTCCTGCTCCTGCATCCCAGCCCCATGCACTCCCCATCCTGCTCTGCTGTCAGTGAGTGATGCTCCTGCTCCTGCATCCCAGCCCCATGCACTCCCCATCCTGCTCTGCTGTCAGTGAGTGATGCTCCTGCTCCTGCATCCCAGCTCCATGCACTCCCCATCCTGCTCTGCTGTCAGTGAGTGATGCTCCTGCTCCTGCATCCCAGCTCCATGCACTCCCCATCCTGCTCTGCTGTCAGTGAGTGATGCTCCTGCTCCTGCATCCCAGCTCCATGCACTCCCCATCCTGCTCTGCTGTCAGTGAGTGATGCTCCTGCTCCTGCATCCCAGCTCCATGCACTCCCCATCCTGCTCTGCTGTCAGTGAGTGATGCTCCTGCTCCTGCATCCCAGCTCCATGCACTCCCCATCCTGCTCTGCTGTCAGTGAGTGATGCTCCTGCTCCTGCATCCCAGCTCCATGCACTCCCCATCCTGCTCTGCTGTCAGTGAGTGATGCTCCTGCTCCTGCATCCCAGCCCCATGCACTCCCCATCCTGCTCTGCTGTCAGTGAGTGATGCTCCTGCTCCTGCATCCCAGCTCCATGCACTCCCCATCCTGCTCTGCTGTCAGTGAGTGATGCTCCTGCTCCTGCATCCCAGCTCCATTCCCTCCCCATCCTGCTCTGCTGTCAGTGAGTGATGCTCCTGCTCCTGCATCCCAGCCCCATTCCCTCCCCATCCTGCTCTGCTGTCAGTGAGTGATGCTCCTGCTCCTGCATCCCAGCCCCATTCCCTCCCCATCCTCCCTTCCCTCCCACAGTGGCTGGTTGGATTCAGCACCTTCCTGCTCCCCTGGGCTCCTGCCTGGCTCCGAGGCCTCTACAAACCCATCCACATCTTCTTTGGCTCCACCATCCTGCTGCTGTCCGTGGCCTCCTGCGTGTCAGGCATCAACGAGAAGCTCTTCTTCAGCCTGTGAGCATCCTGTGTACTGGGGAGCAAGCAGGCTTTGGGCTCCCAGTGGAGCAGAGTGAACCCAAACCCTGTTGGGCATAGGGCAAACGGGTGATGCTCTGCTCCACTCCCTGCTGCAGGGGTACTGTGGGGTTGGATGGGGAGGCTGGGCACATCCAGGACAGCTTTGGGCTCCTTTCCCCCCCTTAAGGAAGAATGGGACAGCACAATACAAGCTCCTGCCTGCTGAGGCTGTGTTTGCCAACACCTTGGGGCTCCTCATCCTGCTCTTTGGGGTGCTGGTGCTGGGTGCCCTGGCCCGGCCGAGCTGGAAGCGCCCTGATGCTGACTGCCCCGACTCCCGTCAGGTACTGGGTTCGCTATGGGGTGGATTTGGGGGTGCTGGTTCCCCCCCCTGGGTTATCCCTGTGTGGGGATGGATGTGGGGCTCAGCTGTATCCTCCCCACAGCCACTGCTTGATGCTGAGCACTGATGCTGATGGAGCAGCTGAGGTCTCTCCCTGCCATTCGTGGGCTCTTTGGATCCCATCGCTTCCCTGCCTGCTGTGCTGGAGCATCCGAGGTCTATCCCTGCCCTTCCCGAGCTTTGGCTCCATCACTTCCCTGCTTACTCTGCTGGAGCCATTCCCAGGATCCCAGCACTGAGATTTGGATCCCAGCTCTTCCCTGCTGGCCCTGCCTGTGGCCATCACCTTGTCCTCACCCAGGAGCCTGCACCCAATGCTCCCAACTCCATGGGAGGACCACGCTCAGCTCCCCTGCAGGAGATGCTGCTGCCATGAGGACATCTCTTTGCCCCCTTTGTGACCTGGGGCAGGATGGGGGCAGCCACAGGGGGATGCTCGTGCCTGCATCCTCGTGCTTCCATGCATCTGGAATCTCCTCCCTGGAGTGTGCTGTGCTCCAAAGCAGCCCCTGGAGCTGGCAGCAGCTGCTGGAGGAGCACCCATGAACCTGATGGGGATGCAGGGAACCCTCACCCCGTGCCTTGCCCTTCACCAGGGTGCCTCTCCCTCCACCCCATGGTGGTGGGAGCAGCCCAGGAGCCTCACAGGGCCCTCCTGGCTACTTAATAAAGCACTGGCTTCTGCAGGGCTCCTGCATCCGCATCCCTGGGGACAAAGCAGGGCCATAGGAGCCCGGATGGGGCTGGAGGAGGAGACCCCAGTGCTGGCCCCCATCCCCTGCTTCTCCTTTCTGCCTTCCCCCTGTGTCTCCAAGCCCCGTGCCTGGGGCCATGTGAGCCCTGTGGTTACCCTGGTGCTGAACTCGTGCTCAGCCCAGAAGCTTCCTTCCTCAGTGATGATGAAGCACAGGATCCCTGCTCCGCATCCCCATCCCCATCCCATCCCGCTGCATCCCTAGGGAAGCACTGGAGCAGCTTGAGGACCACAAAGGTTTATTGAGGGCATGGAGGGGGGTCAGAAGTGAGATGCAGCCCCCCCCCCATCAGCTCTGCAGCCCCTCCAGCACTGCCTTGAGCACTGCAGCCACAGCCACAGCCCCCGGGTCGGGCTGCAGCAGCCGTGCTGAGCTGATGTAGCTGGCTCTGCCCGCCCCGGCCTCCATGTGCTTGGTGGCCTCTGCTGCAGCCTCCGCGCTCTGCAGGGGTAAAGGGGATGGACCAGGGCATCAAAGGGATTCCCATATCCAATTCCCAAGCCAGCCCTGCACTGGGATCCCCCCATACACACACATGGTACCTGCACAGCGTTGGTCAGCACGGGCAGCAGCTCGGCACCGGGGCTGCGCAGGGGATGCAGAGCCTGTGCTGCAGCACACAGAGAGTCCAACTGGGGAGATGGGGAAGGGGCTGAGAGCCGGATGGGAGCAGCCTGGATTGTGGCTCTGCCCCATGTGGAGTCATGGAATGGGTTGGGATGAAGCTCATCCAGCTCCAACCCTTTCCATTGGAGCAGCTTGCTCCAAGCCCCTGTGTCCTTGAGCACTGCCAGGGATGGGGCAGCCACAGCTTCTCTGGGCACCCTGTGCCAGCGCCTCAGCACCCTCACAAGGGAAGAGCTTCTGCCTAAGAGCTCAGCTCAGTCTCCCCTCGGGCAGGTTCAAGCCATTCCCCTTGGCCTGGCCCTACAGGCCCTTGTCCCAAGCCCCTCTCCAGGTTCCCTGCAGCCCCTTCAGGCACTGGAGCTGCTCTCAGGTCTCCCCTTCAGGAGCCTTCTCTTGTCCAGGCTGCCCCAGCCCAGCTCTCCCAGCCTGGCTCCAGAGCAGAGCTGCTCCATTGCAGCATCCCCATGGCCTCACTCCAGCCGTTGCTTTGAGGACCCCACAAGCCCAAGTCCCCCCAACAGGACACCAGCACTCACCATTGTCCTGTCCCCTGGGGCAGCACCTCCATACCTGGGGGGGGGGATGCAGGAGAGGGTTAGTGGGAAGGTCTGGGGGTCCCAGTGTTGGGGTAGGGGGGTCCCCTGACCCTGCTCACCCACCTCTGCATGGCTTCAATGCCTGCATCCATGGCATCAGCCCATGCTGGGAGCTCAGTGCTGCGGAGCAGGGGCCGGGCGGCCGCCGTCAGGAAGAGCCCATAGAGCTGTGGGGCACTGGGGGTGAGGGGTCATGGGGGGGGAGGTCCCCTCTTGTCCCATCCCCCCCCTTGCACTCACCACACCAGAGGAGCCCCCCATCTTCTCCAATAAGAGGTCAGCCAGGGCTGAGAGGAGCTGGGCTGGGGCTGCTGGGGGGGACTGGGCATGGACCCACTCCTGGATGGCTGCAGGGAGGAGATGGGAACAGACTGGGAGGGAGCCCCTTAGGCCATAGGGACAAGCAGGGAGACCCCCCCAATGCCTTGGGGCAGCTGACAGGGGGTTCCTAAAGGGGCTTTGGCTCCCTTCATCCCATGACTCCCATGATTCAGGTACCCTGCCCCATAACTCCCTGCCCCATAACTCCCTGCCCCACCTCGAGCAGCCCGAGCGTGCGTGTGGCCGCAGTCCCCATCTCCTGCCTGCCGGTCCAGCTCGTTGAGCCTGTCCTGCATGGCCAGCAGGGTGCTGCACACCAGCTCCAGCACCCTCTGCACCCGCGCCGCACCGGGCCCTGCGAGGAGGAGGCATCACCTTGGGTGGATACAGGGAAACCAAGGCACAGGGAGGTGGTTCCATAAGGGATCCAAGCTCCTTGATGCTGCCCTACCAGAGCTGGGTTCATGCTGCATGGTCCCTGCTCCCTCCTTTGGTGCTGGTAGCTCCTGTCTCTGGCTCGTGGCCGGCGCCGTGGCCACGTTGGGCCATGCCATGGCCGTGGTCTTGGCATCTGGAGAGGCAGGAGGTGAGTGATGGATACCCCCCCCCAACCAAGGACCACACCGGGTCCTGAGCATCCCCATCACCTGTGGGCAGCCCCACGCACCAATGAGCCCCACCAGCTCCTCATCCACCAGCATGAGGGTGAGGGAGACCCCGGCCATCTCCAGCGCCGTCATGAAGGAGCCAACCAGTGCCCTGGTGATGCTGATCCCTCGTCTCTCTGTGGCCATGGAGGAAGGACCATGAGCATCAGCAGCAGGAGCAGAGCAAGGGAATGGAGCCCCCGGTACTCACCCAGGCAGCGCACAGCAGCCCCGGCCACGATGCCCAGCTCCAGGCAGGACAAACCACCCAGGTTGTTCACTACCAGCACCACGGAGGCTCCTAAAGGGGAGGAGCAGGATGAGACCCCTGCCTATGGGGTCTGGGGGGGGTTTGGAGGGTGAATGGGGGCTCACCAGGGCTAAGAGGGAGGTGGGAGGCATTGGAGGGGTCTGTCATGTGGGCCAGCATCATCTCCACCGCCTCATCTGCTGTCAGCATCTAGGGGGATAATAGGGGGACAATGGGGGGACATTGAGGGAAGAGTGGGGGGGGGTGTGGGGAGCATTGGGGGGACCCAACAGGACCGCGCTCACCTTCATCCTGCGCACTCCTGCCTCACCGTGGATCCCTGTGGGGAGATAGGGCAGCATCAGTGATGCTGCGGCCACCTCCAGCACCAAGGGATGTCGATCCCATGGGGAATGGGGGGCATCTCCTCACCCAGACCCAGCTCCATCTCATCAGCATCCAGCTGGAAAGTGGGTTTGGAGCCGGGAACGCTGCATGGGGCCAGGCTGAGCCCCAGGGTACCTGCGTGGGGAGGGATGCGCCAGGTTCCATGGAGCTAATGGGGGGGCTCTGGTTTGCCAGGGATGGGGCTCAGCATCCCCTTGAGGAGCACTAAAGGATCCCCTTCCCCTACCCAAGCCTTTGGCAGCCAATGACACCTTCTCCACGATCTCATCCAAGCTCGCTCCTGCCTCAGCCAGAGCTCCTGCGACCTGCAAAGAGCACAATGGGTAAGGACCATCACCCCCCCCCCCATATCCCATATTCCCATTGCATCCCAGTCACCTTATGGATGAGGATGGTGCCACAGAGCCCACGGCGCCCGGCTTTCTTCAGCGTGGCGAAGGCGCTGTCATCGCCCACCACCACCATGCGCACGTCGGTCCCCTCTGCCCGTGCCCGCTCCAGCGCCAGCCCGAAGTTGAGCCGGTCCCCGGTGTAGTTCTTGACGATGAGGAGGGTCCCGGCTGCGGAGGGACATGGGATGGGTGAAGCGTGGATGTGCGGGATGGGCTCAAGGGGATGGGGATTGGGGCTATGAGGGTGCGGGGGGCAATGGGGCAGGGGTAGTGAAGGGAGTGGGGTCTTCATTGGGACCTAGGGGATAGGGTCTGCAAACCTCTCAGTCATGGGATTAACCATGGAATCATGGGATTAACCATGGAGTCATGGGATTAACCACGGAATCATGGGATTAACCATGGAATCATGGCATTAACCATGGAATCATGGGATTAACCATGGAATCATGGGATTAACCATGGAATCATGGCATTAACCATGGAATCATGGCATTAACCATGGAATCATGGAATTAACCACGGGATCATGGAATTAACCATGGAATCATGGAATTAACCACGGGATCATGGAATTAACCATGGAATCATGGGATTAACCACGGAATCATGGGATTAACCGTGGAATCATGGGATTAACCATGGAATCATGGGATTAACCACGGAATCATGGGATTAACCGTGGAATCATGGGATTAACCATGGAATCATGGGATTAACCACGGAATCATGGGATTAACCACGGAAACATGGGATTAACCATGGAATCATGGGATTAACCACGGAATCATGGGATTAACCACGGAATCATGGGATTAACCATGGAATCATGGAATTAACCATGGAATCATGGGATTAACCATGGAATCATGGAATTAACCACGGAATCATGGGATTAACCACAGAATCATGGGATTAACCACGGAATCATGGGATTAACCATGGAAACATCGAATGAATCATGGAATTAACCATGGAATCATGGGATTAACCATGGAATCATGGAATTAACCATGGAATCATGGGATTAACCATGGAATCATGGAATGAATCATGGGATTAACCATGGAATCATGGAATTAACCATGGAATCATGGGATTAACCATGGAATCATGGAATTAACCATGGAATCATGGGATTAACCATGGAATCATGGGATTAACCATGGAATCATGGGATTAACCATGGAATCATGGGATTAACCACGGAATCATGGACTGGTTTGGGTTGGAAGCTCATCCCTACCTGCCCCAGCCTGTGTCACAGCCCGGATGGCCGCCAGGATGCTGCCCACAGCCGGAGAGGTGAAGACGGCTCCAGCCACCACACCAGTGAGCATCCCCTTCCCAATGTACCCTATGGAACAGCACAGGGAGCTCGGAGCCGCACTGGGAACACTGGTTCACGGTGGGGAGGCGCTTACCTGCATGGGCAGGCTCATGGCCAGAGCCCCCTCCGGAAATGAGAGCCACCCGGCCCCTTATGGCCACCAGGTCAGCTCTTAGGGCCACCCGGTGTCCCTGCAGCAGCTGCAGCCCTGGGTTGGAAGCCACCAGCCCGGCCAGAGCATCGTCAGCACAGCCCGACACTGAGTTCACCAGCTTCTTGGGGACCTGGGGGCACAAAGGGGTGACACAAAGGGGTGACACAAAGGGGTAACATAGGGACCCCATAGCAGTGTAAAGGGCTCACCTCCATAGGGCAGCGTGGTGGTGATGGATCCCTCGCAGGTGCAGCTCAGAGTCCAAGGGGCTGAGGCAGGGCAAGGTCCGCTACCGGTAGGGATACGGTGACACGGGGACAGCGCCTGATTGGGGAGATGGGTTCAGCGTGGTCCTGCATGGGGATAATGTCTGGGATGGGGCAGGATCCGGGTGGGGATAACCCCCAAAGCAGGGACCTCAACTGGGGGGTATGGGGAGAGGATGGGGAGGAACGAGTCCTGCAGCAGGGACACTCTTATGGGGATGGGAACCAGGGTGGCAGCATCCCCAAAGCAGGGACCCTCTTATGGGGATGGGGACCTGGGGACCAGGATGGGAGCATCCCTAAAGTATTGACCCCCTCATGGGGATGGGGACCTGGGGACCAGGATGGGAGCATCCCCCAAAGTGGGGACCCTCTTATGGGGATGGGGACCTGGGGACCAGGATGGGAGCACCCCCAAAGTGGGGACCCCCTCATGGGGATGGGGACCTGGGGACCAGGATGGGAGCATCCCCAAAGCAGGGACCCTCTTATGGGGATGGGGACCTCGGGACCAGGATGGGAGCACCCCCAAAGTGGGGACCCCCTCATGGGGATGGGGACCTGGGGACCAGGATGGGAGCATCCCCAAAGCAGGGACCCTCTTATGGGGATGGGGACCTGGGGACCAGGATGGGAGCACCCCCAAAGTGGGGACCCCCTCATGGGGATGGGGAGGACCATGATGGACACCCCCCCCCCCAAGTTACCCACTCGTGTTAGAGGGGAGCATCCCCCAGCTGGACCCCCCTCCTAGGGTAAAAAGGAAGGGGGGGGGCACTATCCATTGGGAAGAGGGGTCCAGGGGGGATACACCCCCAAGCAGGGATCCCCTTGATGGGATGTGGAAGGACCGGGCTGGATGCTCCGCCCATCAGGGACCGCCTCCTCAGCGGGGACCCCTCCTGGCGTGTGTGTGTTGGGGGGGGTCCATCCCAAAGGGATCCATCCCAAAGGGAACCATTCCATAAGGATCCACCCCATATGGAACCCTAAAGGGATCCATCCCCACCGCAGCTCAGCCCTGCGCCACCTCCCGTCTCGTCTGCTCCCCGGGGTCCTCCAAGCCGCCTAGAGCGGCCCCGCGCGGCTCACTTCCGGTGACGTCAGGGCGGCGGGCGGAAGCGGCGGAGAGGCCGCGCCAGGCCCCGCTACCGGTGCGCGGCCCCGCTCCTGTTCCCCGGTTCCAGCCCCGGTTCCCGGTTCCTCCCCCGGCCCTGCGAGCCCCCCCCCCCGCCGCCACCATGTCCTACAACTACGTGGTGACAGCGCAGAAGCCCACGGCCGTCAACGGCTGCGTCACCGGTACCGCCGGGGGTCCCGGCCTAACGGCTGAGGAGCCGGGGCCTGTGTTTGCTATGGGCGGGGTATTGGGGTGTATGGGGGTCAATGGGGCACTGGGGGGATGGAGGGGGCTGAGGCCTTGTGGGGGTATTGGGGTGGGGGGAAGTGGGGGGGGCTGTGGGGCATTATGGGGGTGGGGGTCTATGGGGCACTGGGGGGGTCTGTGGGATGTGGATGGGGAAGTGGGGTATTGTTATGGGATGGGGTCTTGGGCATTGTGTGATGGGGAAGTGGGGTATTGGGGTGTCTATGGGGCACTGGGGGGGTCTATGGGCATTGTGGATGGGGAAGTGGGGTATTGGTGGGACGGGGGTCTGTGGGGCATTGTGTGATGGGGGAAGTGGGGTATTGGGGGTGTCTGTGGGGCATTGGGGGGTCTATGACGGGGGTCTGTGAGGCATTGTGGGGTGGGGGAAGTGGGGTATTGGGGTGTCTATGGGGCACTGGGGGGTCTGTGGGGCACTGTGTGATGGGGGAAGTGGGGTGTTGGGGGTGTCTGTGGGGCATTGGGGGTGTCTGGAGCACTGGGGGGGGTCTGTGAGGCATTGTGTGATGGGGGAGGTGGGGTATTGGGGTGTCTGGGGCACTGGGGGGGTCTATGAGGCATTGTGTGATGGGGAAGTGGGGTATTGGGGTGTCTGGGGCACTGAGGGGTCTGTGGGGCATTGTGGGATGGGGGAAGTGGGGTGTTGGGGATGTCTTTGGGGCATTGGGGGGGTCTGTGGAGCACTGGGGGGGGTCTGTGAGGCATTGTGGGATGGGGGAAGTGGGGTATTGGTGTCTATGGGGCAGTGGGGGGGTCTGTGGGGCATTGTGTGATGGGGAAGTGGGGTATTGGGGTGTCTATGGGGCACTGGGGGGGTCTATGAGGCATTGTGGGATGGGGGAAGTGGGGTATTGGGGGTGTCTGTGGGGCACTATGGGTCTGTGGGGCATTGTGTGATGGGGAGGTGGGGTATTGGGAATGCCTATAGGGTACTGGGGGGGTCTATGCGGTACTGGGGGGGTCTGTGGGGCATTGTGTGATGGGGGAAGTGGGGCACTGCAGTGGCATTGGGGGGGTTTGTGGGGTATTGGGGGGTTGTGAAGCATGGGGGAGCTGTGGAGTGGGGGGAATTGGGGTATTGGGGAGGCATTGGGGAGCTGTGGGGCACAGGGTGGGGGAGTCAGGGGGTTCCTTGAGGTCCATGGGGGGATGCAAGTGCACTGTGGTGCTTGGGGGGGGCTGTGGGGCCCTGGGGTCTATAGGTGTGTTAGGGGGGCACTGGGGGGAGCAGGGGGGGACTGAGTTTGTTGGGGTTCTGTGGGGCACTGGGGGGGTGGGGGTGTTGTGAGTGTCCTGGGGGGGCTTGTTCAGCGTTGTGGAGGTGATGGGGGGGGCACTGGGGGTTCTTTAGCTTGAGGTTACTGAGAGCTCCGTGGGGTTTTGGGTGTGGGGTGAAGTGGGGTTTAATGGGGGGCTGCTGTGGGGTGCTGCAAAGGGGAGACCTGAGAGCAGCTCCAGTGCCTAAAGGGGCTGCAGGGGACCTGGAGAGGGGCTTGGGACAAGGGCCTGTAGGGCCAGGCCAAGGGGGATGTACTCTGGAGAGGGGGTGCAGTGGAAGGAGCCCTGGGAATGGGGTTCCAAGGGGGAGCTGGGACTTGTGGGAGGAAGAAGCTGAGGTTTTGGGATGCTGTGGCTGGGGGCTATGGATGGGACTGTTCAATGTGACCACCCCACGTTGTCCCCTTGTCCCATCCCTGTGCCTCAGAGCCGTGCTTTCTCCTCTCTGTTATCCAGGACACTTCACCTCAGCAGAGGATTTGAACCTGCTCATTGCCAAGAACACACGGCTGGAGATCTACGTGGTGACAGCAGAGGGGCTGCGGCCCGTCAAGGAGGTGGGGATGTATGGCAAGACAGCAGTGATGGAGCTCTTCCGCCCCAAGGTGGGTGTGCTATGGGGACAGGGACCTTGCCATGGGGAGGAGAGGCTTGGGGACACTGGTACCCCTGGCTCTGATCCCCTCCTTAAGGCTCATCACTGCTCTGCTTTGGCAGGGGGAGAGCAAGGACTTGTTGTTCATCCTGACAGCCAAGTACAACGCCTGCATCCTGGAGTACAAGCAGAATGGAGACAACATTGACATCATCACCCGTGCTCATGGCAACGTGCAGGTGAGTGGAGCTGCAGAGCCTGGGGGGCAACAGTGCCCGTCCTTTGGGGGGGGGGTTTGGGTGTGCTGGTGATGGGCTTTGAGCTTCTTAACTCCTGATTATGGAGTTGTGGGGGTCCAGCTCTGGGGCAGCAGCACAAGGGAGGGACCTGGAGTGAGAGCAGTGGAGATGCTGTGAGGGCTGAAGCAGCTCTGCTCTGGAGCCAGGCTGGGAGAGCTGGGCTGGGGCAGCCTGGACAAGAGAAGGCTCCTGAAGGGGAGACCTTAGAGCAGCTCCAGTGCCTAAAGGGGCTGCAGGAAACCTGGAGAGGGGCTTGGGACAAGGGCCTGTAGGGACAGGCCAAGGGGAATGGCTTGAACCTGCCCGAGGGGAGACTGAGCTGAGCTCTTAGGCAGAAGCTCTTCCCTGTGAGGGTGCTGAGGCGCTGGCACAGGGTGCCCAGAGAAGCTGTGGCTGCCCCATCCCTGGCAGTGCTCAAGGACACAGGGGCTTGGAGCACCCTGCTCCAGTGGAAGGGGTTGGGGTTGGAGCTGGAGGAGCTTTAAGCTCCCTTCATCCCAAACCCTTCCATGATCCTCTGCCTGCCCCTCACTCTGGTTCACCCACTGCTGCTGTGTGCAGTGAATCAGTCTCATGTCAAGGACTGAGACTGCAGTTGTGTTCCTGGGGTAGTTTGCAGAGCCCCAGAATCCCAGACTGGTTTGGGCTGGGAGGCACCTTTAAAGCTCATCCACTTCCAACCCCTGCCATAGGCAGGAGCATCTTCAACTGGGTGAGGTTGCTCAGAGCCCTGTCCACCAGGACCTTGAATGCTTTAGTAAATGAAGCACCTATCACCTCTTTATGCAGCCTGTGCCAGTGCCTTCAGCACCAGAATGATAAGGTTCATTTGAGTTACTCCTCCCATAAAGAGAATTAATGCTCAAAACTCAACATAAGGTGGAATTCTCCCTGGGAAATGGCTTCTTTGGTATTCCGTGGCTGGGTTCTACACCCTGCACACCAGAACCATGGCTGCTGGAGTTAATCCTCGCACCACAACCATAGAGCATCAATAGTTGTGTATATTCTCCATTATTCTGTTTTATGGCCCTCAGTTTAAAAAGGACAGGGACCTGCTGGAGAGAGTCCAGCGCAGGGCAACTAAGATGATTAAGGGAGTGGAGCATCTCCCTTATGAGGAAAGACTGAGGGAGCTGGGTCTCTACAGTTTGGAGAAGAGGAGATTGAGGGGTGACCTTATTAGTGTATATAAATATATAAAGGGGGAGTGTCACGAGGATGGAGCCAGGCTCTTCTCAGTGGCAAACAATGAAAGGACAAGGGGTAATGGATACAAATTGGAGCACAAGAGGTTCCACTTAAACCTGAGAAGAAACTTCTTCTCAGTGAGGGTGACGGAACACTGGAACGGGCTGCCCAGGGGGGTTGTGGAATCTCCTTCTTTGGAGACATTCAAGACCCGCCTGGACACGTTCCTGTGTAACCTTATCTAGGTGTTCCTGCTCCGGCAGGGGGATTGGACTAGATGATCTTTTGAGG